GTTGCCTTCCATCGTACCCGTCACCAGGTGGTGGCGGTGGCTGGTGCCTATCTTCATCTCTATTCCTGGGTGGTTGTTGAACTACGTCAACATCATTGCCGCCTGGTGGCGGCGGTTCATTGTTGTTGCCGGCCATCGTCTTTGCGGGATGCAAAGTTTACACCCCACACCTGACACCACTTTTTGGTGTGCCCGGCCGTGCGGCGCGCGCGGCGGAAATCAAATCGCGCCCCCCTTGCTGGTCCTGAAGGGTAGCCCGACGTGATTTGCATACGCGCGCAGCTGACGGGGCAGGTGCGCCGAGCCGCGGGGTCCTCCCGTTCGACCCCGGCGCGACTCGAAGGTGGCCCCGAACGATAATGGCGCCTCCGCGAGCGGTGAACGGAGGCGGGGAGCGTGTTGGAGTAGGCAGCACAGGGGTGCCCGGTTCTTGCCACCTGCAGGACGCCGTCGTCCTGCCGCTGTTCTCTCTCTCGTCTGTCGTCCTCTCGATGGCCAGCGGCTACTTCCGCTGCTCTACCGAGCGCCGTCCACTCGGTCGTCGTGACATAATTTTTCCCAATGATTTAACTCTTATTTGCTTATTTTCCCAAATTCAAATTTCTTCTTTCTCAAAATTTTAACTTCTTTTTTTTTCTGAAATTCAATTTCTACTTTTCTCAAAACTCAAAATTTATCTTCCCCAAATTTCTACTTTTGTTTAAAAGGGGCTATAATTTTGTTGTTTAAAATCCGTCAATTTTTTATATTTAAAGTGAACTGCTATTTATTTTCCTTGCCCTATCTAGTTACAGAGTTTTCTTTATCGCGCGCGTGTTATTTCTCGGTCAGCACTAAAAAAGTCTTTTCTCCGTCGTTTCTCTGCGAGCGGCGGGCAGTGTAATGGCCCACTGGCTGGCTCCGCGGCTCGAAACGGCTGCTGATTGCAACGCATAATTTTGCCTAAAACACATAGAAATGCACATTTTAGCACCCAGCCTATTTTGACTATTCCGTATTTATGCTACCTCTTAGGGCCTTTTGGGGCTGTTCGCTCCGTCCCTTGGTCGCATTTCGGCCGGACTTGGCAGGAGATAATCTAAGCAAGTGTTTCGGACACCTGGCGCTATGTGCAAGTCTCAAACCTCAGTAGGGCTCTCGGCCGACCACATGAGTTTAATGCGCGGCTGTGAACTCCGAAGAGAACGAAGGCCCTTTGCGCATTCTTGACCGGAGCTCCAGCAATCCGATCGAATTTTAACGTGCGGCCCTGAACTCCGAAGAGAACCTTAGACCTTTTGCATCGTTTGGCGATTCCTATAGAATGCCCCTTTTGCAGGGAAAACGGCGCTATTTATTCCAAAATCGAGCACCTCCCTTCGGCCATCACTTTTGTGTTATTTCTTTACTTTACTTTCGCGGGGTACCTTCTGATTGGGGCGGCCGGTCAAAAGCGAGCGGCTGTATTGGCTTGAGTGGTGGGTGTTTTAAGACTTGTTTTAAGACTCTACGCAGCGCGCGCTGAGAGGGATGAAAAATACAAACAACAAGACTGCGCGCTGTCGCAAGTTCGGCACTCTCGGAAGACTCAAAATTAATTCTAAATTGAATTATCCGAGAACCGATTTTTCACTTAAATTCCTTGGCCAAGGGTTCAACTTAAAATCTTGAACTAAATAACGCTCAACTCTAACTGAAAAAAAAAACTTTAATTCCAAATTCATAAAAAAAAAACATCGCCTGTTTTTATTTGAGACTTTGCACGTTTGCGCCCCTGCAAATAAGATTTAATTAATTTCCTATGCATGCATTCCATAAATTCTATTTTTCCTTTTCCTTCTAATTTCTAATAGACCAATTACCAAAGAAATTGTTGCGCGGCGGCCACTCAATTATTATTCAGCCGCCGAGCGAGAGACAGAGTGCCTCTCTCTCTGCGTGCGCTGTGCAGGCGAGAGAGGAGAGACACACACAGGGCCGGCCGAGAGACGGCCAGCGAGAGCGAGCGAGTGAATTTATTTACTGGCGCGGCATTTAATTTTTCTCCCTTTTTAATTCGTTTTAATTCCGCTTCCCTTTGTTTTCTCTCAACTCAAATCTCATTTGCTAACTGAAAATTACTTCCGTTTTATTTAATTCTCAATTTGCACTTTCTCGATTCTCTTTTACTTTTCCCAGCATTTAAATTCAAGCGCTCAAAACTAATTTTATTTTTCCATGCAACTTTCAATTTCAATTCTACATACAAATTCTCATAAATTGCTGTCAACAATTAATTTTAAATTCTCAAACTGAAACGGCTTAAAAATTCAAAATTCTTTTCGAGCAATTAATAGAGAGAGCCGTGAGTTTTGGCAACTCCGGCCATTCCGGTGGTCCATCTTCTTGGAATTCTTCTCCTCGGCTGGTGAGAACCGACGCGCAGAGCTTTTCTCAAGGGGGTGTTGTGCGCGCCAGGGTTGTAAAAGTGCCAATCTCAGGTCCTTTTCAGCCGCATTAAGTTCATTCACGCGCACACATGTGTGCGCGGCTGCTTTCTTCCTGCAGAGAAGACGTCCAGCGAGGCTCGCCTCGCTGGCGACGCGCTTCTGCTCCTTTTGTTCAGGCAATAAAAACAGGCACCCTGATCTCCTTCGCTGCTGCTGCGGACAGCATTTCCTCCCTTTTCGTCTCTTGTTCACGTCAATCAGGATTTATAAGTTTTCGACACGCTAAAATGCATTTCACGGCAAAAAGAAACTCGACAGAGAAAATAATTTTCTTCCTTTTTTGTTCAATGCTCTGCCGGGGCAGAGCACTAGTTGGCCTTCACTTTTAATTTAAATCAAAATCTTGATTATATAGACTCTCTGGACTGTGGAGCTTTTCAAACAACAGAGAGCCCAAAACACTGTATCCTGACCCGCGCAAGCTCTTAGTAGTTAATGAATAAAATTGGGTGTGCGGGTTGCGCTTTTGTACCACAGCTGCATTTTTCTAGAAGCATTGTTTTGGGGGAGGGAAGCGGCTCCTAATAGGTCCATGGAGCGGATGCTGGTGAACTCTCGATTCTTCCAATAATGCCAATGGTTTGTGCATCTGTTCTGTGGCTATCGCGGTAAAATGTTAATAATGCTTCACGTTGACCGTGCTGAAGTTAGCGTCATCCACATCCACATCCACATCCTCATCCACATGTGGATAGAATTGTTCCGTCAAACTCGAGCCTCATATATCGCCATAAGGTTAACATGTCCACATCCACATCCACACCGTGTGGATGACGCTATCCTCATCCACATCCACATCCACATCCACATCCCCATCCACATCCACATCCACATCCACATCCACATCCACACGTAAAAATATTTTAAATTGAAATTAAAAAATAAAAATAAAAAATAACTTTTTTTTAATTTTGTCAAAATTAAATTAAATTATCTTGTTATCTTCTGTAAAAATTATCACAATTAAAATCACGCTAAAAAGTGTTTATCCACACGTGCACCCTCCATCCACACCGTGTGGATGACGCTATCCACATCCTCATCCACATCCTCATCCACATCCACATCCTCATCCACATCCACATCCTCATCCACATCCACATCCACATCCTCATCCACATCCACACCTAAAAATATTTGAAAAAAGAAATTAAAAAATAAAAATCAAAAAATTTTTTTTTTAATTTTTCTCAAAATTAAGTAATATTATCCACACAACAAATAAAAAAGTTATTTTTTATTTTTATTTTTTATTTCAATTTAAAATATTTTTACGTGTGGATGTGGATAAGGATGTGGATGTGGATGAGGATGTGGATGAGGATGTGGATGTGGATGAGGATGTGGATGTGGATGTGGATGTAGATGAGGATGTGGATGATGATGTGGATGTGGATGAGGATGTGGATGTGGATGAGGATGTGGATGTGGATAGCGTCATCCACACGGTGTGGATGGAAAGTGCACGTGTGGATAAATACTTTTTAGCGTGATTTTAAATGTGATAATTATTACAGAAGATAACAAGATAATTTAATTTAATTTTGACAAAAATTAAAAAAAAAATTATTTTTTATTTTTATTTTTTAATTTCAATTTAAAATATTTTTACGTGTGGATGTGGATGTGGATGAGGATGTGGATGTGGATGAGGATGTGGATGTGGATGTGGATGTGGATGTGGATGTGGATGAGGATGTGGATGAGGATGTGGATGTGGATGAGGATGTGGATGTGGATGTGGATGTGGATGTGGATGTGGATGAGGATGTGGATGTGGATGTGGATAGCGTCATCCACACGGTGTGGATGGAGGGTGCACGTGTGGATAAACACTTTTTAGCATGATTTTAAATGTGATAATTATTACAGAAGATAACAAGATAATTTAATTTAATTTTGACAAAAATTAAAAAAAAAATTATTTTTTATTTTTATTTTTTAATTTCAATTTAAAATATTTTTACGTGTGGATGTGGATGTGGATGAGGATGTGGATGAGGATGTGGATGTGGATGTGGATGAGGATGTGGATGTGGATGAGGATGTGGATGTGGATGTGGATGAGGATGTGGATGTGGATGTGGATGAGGATGTGGATGAGGATGTGGATGTGGATGTGGATGAGGATAGCGTCATCCACACGGTGTGGATGTGGATGTGGACATGTTAACCTTATGGCGATATATGAGGCTCGAGTTTGACGGAACAATTCTATCCACATGTGGATGAGGATGTGGATGTGGATGTGGATGACGCTAACTTCAGCATCATCACGTTGGCTGGTTTAGAAACACAAGGGAAATGAGTTCAATGCCTGCTCTAGGAGGATTTTTTGAAGCCTTAGTTCAGGATGTAAGACGGTTGTGGTTAATTTTAACAATCAGTTTATTCGATCGATAAAAAATTGTTGTACTTCATTATTAAAAAAACAACAATTTAAATAACAACAAGTAAATAATAAATTATATTTTACATTCCATAATTATATAAAAAAAATTAAAAAGGGACCAATGTGTTTAATGTGTTAGACGCGCGGTACTCTGCAGGAACAAATCTTTGGGCTATTTAATGTCCTGTTAACACAACCTCTATTATAAATTTACATTAATAGATTATTTTGTATTTTTTACTCATGTAAAATTTTGTTATGATTTATGAAAAAGTATGATCTCTCTTGCAAGAGGAACCCGGTTTCAATTTTTCTAAGAAATTTACAACTGTAAAATGCATTCGTAATAGCATTGCAGCAAGAAATTTGGTATTTTATTATTGAAAGCATTAATGAATTGAATTAATTAATAAATATCAACAAAAATAAATTTGCATCAACTTTAAAATACAAACGCTTTAAAGATGCAAAGTGCATTATTTTTCTTCTATTTATTCTCTTATCTCTCTTAGCTTTTTAAACTTAATTGAAATTGATAACAATTAAAAGAGTGTATAACAGATTTTATATAGCAGACATTGAATCTCAGTAGAAAATTATTTTATAATTAAATAAAATTTTACCTCTAACTTGGGCAAGAGCAATTTAGTGTCATTTGGCAATTCTGTTGCAAAAATGATAAAATATTATGTGTAATAATTAAATAATACAATTGCTTTGATGTAAGTTGTTGAATATTTCAATGTACATTTGAATGGAGAATAATTAAATAAGGACACATATTTCTCACACTTAAAAAATTAAAAACCTAATAATATTTCATTCTTTTGAAGTCGTGGTGTCTTTTGCCATGAATGTCATCCAGCATTTTATCCAGATCAGCTTGCATCTTCGTAAATTTTTCAAAATAATTAATTATTGTACCAAATAAAAAAAGTTAATCTTACTTCGCAAAAAGAATACGTATTTTTGTCTGAATGTATAACCCAGGCAAAAGCTCGTCTAGGTCGGAAGTGTTTCAAAAATGATTTTAGCTCACTGTGGCTAGAATGCCTCGAACGAGCTATTCGGACAAACCCTCCATTAGACAAATCCTAGAAAATCGTGATAAAATATTAATTTAAAATTGAAATATAATGAACTTGATAAATTTTCATTCAAATAATAAGGGATATTCATTTTTACATGCCTCTGGTTCTATTATTTTATTGTTGCCCAATTCAATTGCGAAGTACAATGCAGAGGGCACAATGTGTAATGCGTTTGACGGAGGCTTACACAGAACCTCTTTTCTTGGAGTGGAATTCACATCCTGGCCTTCCTGCAATGAGATTTCAGTAAAATTTTATTACAAAATTAAATTATCCTTATTGTAAGTTCTTACGATTTTGCACATGTGAATGAAAGCGACTTGGCCCTCAGTAGTGATGCACGATTCAATCTCCTCGAATCCCGTGTAGCATTTGCATTCCTCTTCATGAAAGTGAATTTTGGTTTTATATTTTTTGCTCAATTTCACTATGATTTCCTCTGAGCCAATAAAACCTGAAAGATATCATCAAATATTATTAAAAATATATTATGCAGTTTTAAAATTTTCTCCCCACACCAGCTGGTTTTATATGTATCCAAGCCTGGTCCCCTTTCTTTAAAGCAAAAAGGTATTTGTCAATGGAAGCCTCAATCATCTGCAGACTTTCTTCTTCCGACGGAAAAACCTTCGCGTGATTTATTTGATTGAAGAAAGTTGTGTCTAAGTACACCAAGTCGATTCCTTTGACAGTTCCGTCACTGTAGTGCAGCTCTTTGATGTCTTTTAACTGATTCGGTGAAAATCGGAAATCGCCAGTAAAAAGCACTCGTTGATTTTCCTCGGTCTCGAATAGGAACCTGAGGAAATTACGTAAAAATACACAAAATTTCGGCTGCGGAATTATAATTACATGCACGCTCCAAGACAGTGGTTTGCTGAAATTGGGGTGACTTTTACAATTTGATCTTCAGCATTGGAATCTGCGTCGTCTGGCTTCTTTATCACTATTGTGTGGCGCCTGCCCACGTCAAGGACTTGCACATGGTCAAAAAACCGGTCGCTTAGTTTCAATTTTGCCCGAAGGTTTTTTAGAATTTGAGCACTTTCTCTTGAGCAATAGAACGTATATTTTGTTTCGAGCGTACTTAAATTCCCAATGCCATTGGTGTGATCTGGGCAGGAAAATTATTGCATTCCTTCATTAAGTATAAATACAGTAAAATTTTTAATAACTCACCAGTGTGACAATGCGTAAGAAAAAATGCTGAAAATTTATGTACATGGGTAAAGCGATCGATTGATGTAAATTCAACTCCATCGATGCGCCCATCGAATTTGCTGGCAAATGCAGCCATTTCCAATATTGCGGGTCCACTTTTCAGCATTGAACAAAGTTTATCCAATTTTTTCTGCGCCTGATGGGTGTTACATATTTGTGTTGAAATTTATAAAATTAATATTTTGTAAAATATGGAAAAATAAACTCAACCTTATTAATATAACGTAGACTTGGAATGCTGCAAGGTTTAACTTTTTTCGGCTTGTATGTCAAAATCAAAGTGCTTATTTCATCTTCAGTCGCGTGAAGGGTATGATCAAGTCGAAGCTCGTTTTGGCTATCAACAACCTGGAGGAGATTTTTATTTACTTGATGCATAATTTACTTACTTCTCCGCTTACGCTTTTATTTTGCTGATTTTCTTCCTTGTTTTCCACTGCGCACAATGTTATTTTATAATCAGATACACGTTGTTCTGCATCTTCAGTGCATTCCTGTTTAAGAGGCTTCATTAAATTTTCAAAATCGTGTCACATTTAATTAAGTTATGCAAAATGTGTACCGGAGATGAACATAAAATAATTTTCGCATCTCCATCTTTGGACACGTAAGAGCTAACGTGTGGAATGTCATTGTAAATTGTATGATATTTTGAGTCCTCAAATTCAATCAGTTCACCCAAATTTGCAGAGATCCCTCTGATAATCTGGCTTTCAGCCCCGACTTCACCTGGAAAATATGAAAAAATTAATGCAATTTAAAAATATCATGATAATTGAATTGTATATAAGCTCAAAGTTATTTATAATTATTAAATTAAGAGAAAAGAAAATCGTCTCTAATGATCTTTTAATGTATGTATATTTATTTATTTTTACACTCTTCATACCTGATTCATTGTTAACGATTATGCGAACGCGTCTCATGTTCAGGTCAGTCTGTCTTAATTTTTCAATTATCAGGTCAATGTTGGCCTGTACGGATGGATACTCTGAAAAACGTTGATCAAAAAACGAGCAGTCAATGTAAATGGCGTCCAATCTCTTTTTCTCGCCATCGAGTTCGTGCAAAGCTCTAATTAGCGGTATTTCATCTTTTGTGTAACGGAAATCAGAAGTGTAAAGCACTGTTTTCTCAGAGGTCTCAAACAGAAACCTGTTTTATAACAATTGTAATAATCAGACAAAATAAAATTTTAAGTCAAATCACGCAAAATTACATGCATGCGCCCACACAGAAGTTTGCGTCAATTACAGTAACTTTCAATTTCTCATTGCTCTCGTCAGAGCTGCTGCTAGGAATTTCCATATCATAAGTTTTCCCAATTTCAAGTTCCTCGAACTGAAGTGGAAAATCTAGGTTTTTTGAGCTGAACAAATTTGTTAGCATTTGCATTGTTCTGCTTGTGCAGAAAAGTTTTGCGTCCTTTAAGTGCTCGGCTAGCTTGGCTTTATCAAGTTCTGCTAATTTTCCTCCTAAAAAAATTTAAAAAAAATTTAGAATCTAAATTTCATTTCTTTTTAAAATAAACCCCGAAAGAAGTTTGTCAGGAAGAGCATTTGGCTCCGTTTAAAGTTCTTCCGTTCAAATCGATCCACTGAAATGCCTTCAATTTCGTCCAGGAAGCCCGAAAACACCTTGTCTGTCATGTTGAGGCACATTTTTACAACTGCCGCTATCTCATTTGCACATCTGGAAAAAGCAACCTTTAATTGAAATGCCTGATTAATTATATTTGCTCATTACAGAAGCTCATAATTTTTTTGAGATATTCGTCTAAAAAGTAGATTAAACATAGAAAATTAATGGCAAGCAAAGTTTTAGCAGCATAATAAATTTAGAAAAAGAAAAAAATCACCTCCCCTCTACTTTACACGTACATCAAGTCTCTCGCACTCCCTTAATTAAGTAATAAGGTGTTTTTTATTTTTTATTTTGGTGCAATTAATTGTAATTATTAGTTGAATTTGCCTTGAAAATTCCAAAAGAAAATTAATTTTTTAAGTAATTTTACTCAATAATATCTATTTAATTTTATGCAAAATCAGCAAGATATTGTGTATTTTACCATTAAACAAACGTTTTCCTCTCCTAAAGTTTTTGTGCTCCCCGATCGTAGAAAAGACTGTCTTCGCGACTGTTATAAATTCGCCTCTGCGCTACAATGCTGAACGTATGTGGCACTAATTTCCCTGATACACGACCTGATAGCAGTTTTGTGATAAGATTATTTTCTGAAAACTTTGGTTAATTCGGTTATATTTTTATGATTGTCTAGTTTTTGCTGTAATCTTTAAAGACAACAGAAAGAGAGCACTCCTTTTCTTAAAACCAATTTTGTTTTTAATTTGGTGCTTATCTTACATTGGCAGCAAAATGATCTCATGTCTTGAAAACGCATCGCTTACAATAATTATGTAGTGAGAGTAAAAAACATTTTGTCAAAAACTTCTTTTTAGATACAATTTTATTAATTTTGCTCACAATCAAAGGTAAACTATTTTTTAAAGAAAATTTCACATTCTTGTAGATGCGTCTCATGACGTAGAGCAAAAGCGCACAAGTTGATCCAGTTCTGCTTGAATCTGTGTAATTTTTATTTTAAGTCATTCATTTTTTATTTTAATATTTGAGGATTTCTAATTTAACGTACTTCCTTTTGGGAGTATCCACTGGGAATTGATATCGCCACTGCTGAGTGAGGTTTAAAATATTTTATGAACTCGGATAATTCAGATCGAGATGAATGCGTCGAGTGCGCGATTTTCACTCGTCCTTGGTCATCTCTTTGAATCCACTGAAAATTACTAAATTAATATATTTTGTTAAAAATGGAATCTCAATTCTTACTTTCCTGCTCTTTCCGTTTCGGGCGTACCACATTGCAGACGCATGAACTTGCAAGGCGTTTTGGCCTTCAATCGTTTGCTTTCCATTTGCGTACTAACATAATAAAAATTCTTACAAGTAATGCATTTATTATTAAAAATAATCTAGTACTCGCGTTCGCAGGTGAATGAATGTGTTGCGGGCGTTTGTAGTGATGAACGGGAAAACTTCGCGGATTCCTTTATACAATTTGTAAGCGTGCCATTCAACGTGAACAGGACATTTGTATTTTTTAGAAAGTGCCCTGATGATGATCTCTGATCCAAGATAATCTGCAATATACCGGACAATTATTAATATGATTAGCAATTTCGTTTGTTTGTATTACATGGTCTTGTAATGAACACTGATCCAGTTTTAAACTTTTCCAAGAAGTCGTCGATTTCCTGTATTATCATTTTCAGTACCGCCTTCCTTGATGGAAAGTGGTTGCTCGCTTGCTTGAAGAAAGTGGTGTCCAAGTACACTGTGTCCAATGCAATGGTCGCTCCATTATTTTCATGCAGGGCTCGAATATTAGCAAGCTCGTGTTTCTGAAAGCGAAAATCTCCCGTGTACAAAACTCTGTGGTCATTCCTTTTGAAAAGGTACCTTGAGAGAAAAAAACTTTTTTAAAAATATGACAGTTATGTCAATAAATGTATAATTTAAATCAATTAAAGCATGAATTAAATAAGATGAAACAGAATATATATAGCAGAGTAAAAATATAAATAATAATAATAAGTTATAAAAATAACATCACGAAGAAAATAAATAATAGCAAAATTATATAAAAGTGACTCACATACAAGACCCAGCACAATGAAAAGCTGGTAGGACGGTCACGTTTGTTTCATATTCATGCTCGGGTACCAAGATTGTGTAAGACATTCCCATTTTCAGTGTTCTTATTACACTCTCCAGAGCATTCTTGTCTTGATGCTTCCAATTGGGCCTGTAAAATTTATTGCGCAAGATGATGGAGCTCTCCAATGTGCAGAAAAGTCGAAGGTCTGGATTATCGCGGGCTTTGGATATAAATCCTTTAATATTTTCCATGTGATCTGCCGAATTTTAATTGTTGCAAATTATTAACAATCAAAAATTGAAACATAATTAAGTGAAAATTTTTCCATCTTTTTACCTGCATGGCAATGTGATAAGAAAAACCTGGAGCAGTTTACCAGGTTTTTAACATTAAAACTGTCTATGGAAATTCCTTTGAAGCCACGAATGAGTCCAGAAAAACCGACAGAAGCCATTTTCATTATTGTCAGCTTGCTAAATACAGGCAGCTGAAAATCCCTGTATATTTTTATGTTATAAGCTCAATAATATGACGTATATCTTTGAGGTTACCTGGGAAGCGTGCAGCCAGTTTATGTGGTGTAAAATACCTTAAATTAACTCCGCAAACAGCTCTGGCTTGTAAATAAATTCAAAAATACAATAGCTAGACGTGTGCAGTGCACACCCTTTTTTGACACTGAGAATACTTTTGCCAAGCTCACAGTGACTGCCTGCTTAAAAGAAAACTAGAATATTTTTTAGTGTGTTTTTTTTCTGGTCTATTGAAGCGGCACCAGTAGATAATGTGACACGTTGGTCGTAAATTATAAGACCCTTCAGCCTTCTCACCATAATGATTTAGAGTTTCCGCTATACTGAATCTTTGTTTCAATTTTTTTTTGTCTTTAATTAAGCCAGGTTCCACATGCTTGTGATATAAAAAAATCTCACAAAAAAATGTAATCAGCTTATCATAAATGTTTTTATTATTCTGAGTACACAGAATGCAGGCTTATCCGTAATATTTTTTTTTCATTATTTTTTTTTTTTAAATGCAGAATTGTTATATTTTGCTTTTAAACATTATTGATAAGTCAAAAAAGAGGAGCAATTCTAGTTATCTTGTTGTTTGTTGTTGTTGTTGTGTTTGTATTTTTTGGCTTTGGTGGTGACCATTCAGCCAGATCTAATTTTTAACAGGTCTAGTTTTTAGTATCGTGCTGCAGGGAAGATTTTCTTGTACAGCTCGTGCAGTTCTATGTAGATTTGCTTATTTTGGGTTGAGAGGATGTTTGGGAGATTAAAGGGAGGCCGGAAGTTGTTATTTCTAAGAGTTCGGTTAAGCTTAGTACGTGCACTCCAGTATCGTGGTATTCTAGTTATCTCTATTTTTACTTTCAATATTGTGGTTATGGCTGCATATGTGAGGTGCGCCCAAATATTGAAAAAGTCATATTTATGCAAGTGTGTCTGCTGGTTTCACTTAAGCAATTAGCATTTTCTTATCTTCGACCACAGGATGCATTGAAATGGCACAATTAGGAAGGCCGTTGGCTTTCTCATTATGTTCTCCGAGTCTGAAAATAAAAATAACCAATTTATTAAATTAAAAGAATCGTTATATTTTCAACAGCTGTACCCAACAGGCTGGACGTTTTTCAGTGCTGAAAATCCAGTGACATGCCCTTCTTGTTCTTGAATTTCTTGATGTTTTGCGCGCTAAAAAATTTGCACCAATTATTGTTAATTTATAATATGGAAGATGGCAATTAATATTAGTTTAATTTGGAAACAATGAAAAAAAGGGAGAAATTTATAACTATAAATGAAATTTTTTACCATTTTGAGAAAGTGGTCGATATAGAACATCATTTGAGCAACTCCTGCCGTCATTTGGAGTACATTATAATGGCCTTCCACTTGGTATCTGAAGATCCAATTCAAAATGTAAAATCCTCTGTATGAAGCAAGTGCAAACAAATAGCTTGCGATCCAGTTGTCTGATTCAGTTGATTTCTGAGACAGATGCATCTGCGGCAGAATGACAATTGCCTCCAAGCAAATGGAGAATGCCCAGGAAATCTTAAAATATTTAAATTTATATAGAGTGTCGATATAAAATTTTTATATTTATAAAACATACCTCTGAAAACTCCATAACAGAATATACATGGTTATAGTAAAAAGAGAGAACTAAAGCAATAGCAATCCAGCCGAAAATTCTAGATTAAAAATATTAGTCTTGCCTTAAAAACTGTGATTTTTGTGTATGTGAACTTACCCGTAATTATCCCTTTTTGAGGAATAATTTTTATTCCTGTCACAATAAATTGAAGCCACAGTGAAAAGAGCCAGAGATATGTAGATCAACTTGAAAACTGTGTTGTACATAGATATCCATTTTATGTTTAAGAATAAGTCCACGTATCTTGTCACAAAGACCATGGCGTAGAGCACCTGGCTTTTGCCGCTCACACCTTTCAGGGAGTAAAATAAATTAAATTTTCATAAAGTACATTTAAAATATGAAAATATTAGCAAATCTCACCTTTGCATCCCGACTTTGAGAACCAAATCTTGATCAGCAGAATGAAGAACGCCGCGAAATGGACGAAGTCCCCGCAGACGCGGTAAAAGTTTAGGTTGCCAAATATCTCTATGGGCATTTTGAACTAAAAAGTAATTGTTAAATTAATCAAATTCATTTATTAAAAATTTTGTAAATCATTTTTGTAAAAAACTAAAAGTCTAAATCGAAATAAATTTATTAAATAATCATTTCAAAATTAAAAAAAAAAATCCAACTCATTACTGTAATGTAACCCTAAACATTAAATGATAATTTTCTTATAATCAAATTTTATTGATTTAAATTTAAAAAGACATAATTGTATTATAGTCCAATTTTCTTCTAAAACTCCTAATTAAATGTGTTTTGCAAAACCAATTTTATATTAACCAGCTCATATTCTAGTAAAATTTCGGCGTTACTGAGCTAATTGATCAATTGATGGAATGCATCGCGTCAGCCAAAATAAATTATTGATATAAATTATTCAACTCACTCTCTTAGCTGAATGCGGTCTTTAGAGATGAGAAATGAGATTGCGGTGTGAAGTAAATTGAGGATTGTTGAGTATGGAAGAAAGTAACGTCGGCTTGATTTTATATTTGCGTGGATGAGGAAAGTCTTGTCAGAAATGCTTTGCTAAATTAGCATGGCTTGCATCATACAGGCCATCATATGTTTGCGGATCTGCTTACCAAGTGCAAAAAATAAATTTCATCTATGGTACATATAAGTTGCGACTCTGACCCTGCGCATATTGGTGGGGCAACGGCACAGTGGGGAGCGAGAGCCGCCGTGATTTCTGTCAATAAAATTAAAACCTACAATACATGGAAATTAATTTTATTTAATATGGTTTGATAAATTTTCAGTAAAAAATAAAATTATCAATTTATGTATTTAAAAATTATATCTGAAGCTGAAATTAGTAAAAATTAATTATTTATTTGATGAATAATTGAAAATTAATTATGTGTAGAGGTTTTATCACAAATAATTTCACAAGATTATTTGAAGAATTTGAGTTATTTAACTTTATTATAAAATTCTCATTTGGGTATAAAAAGTCAAACTTAATTCTAGGCACTTCAGAGAAATTAAAAATTTTATTTTATTAAAAGTTAGATTCTGTATTTTAGTAAAGAAAATTTACTTCTCCTCTATCAGTATCTGATATAAAATTTATTTGCTGAAATATTTTATGCTTGCGGAAGTGCAAGTATGGATTGTTTGTCTGCAAGTGCAAGGATCAGTCGAGAACCTCCTGCTGGATGTTATCTACTTCTTCTTGAATCTGAAATAATTAAGAAAGTTTAATTATTATTTTAAAAATAGAAATTTAAAAATTATTATACCTCATCCATGGTAAATCCCTCTGGAACGACCAAAGGTGTCATTTGGGTAGGGCCAAAGTAGCCTATGAAAGCCTCCAACTCCTTTCTGGAGCAGTGCATCGAGTGAGCAATATGCACCGTTTGATTGTTGCGACCTCGCCTCACCCACTATAATAAATATGCATATTTAATATCAATTTCAATGCGCATGATGTAAAAATCTTACATTAGTCGAATTGCTGTTGGCATACCACAGAGCAGAAGGGTGCAGTTTTAGCACATTGGGCTGATTGCAGCAATTGTTGTGCCCACTGCGATCCTAAAAGTAAAAAAGTAGAACCATATTTAAAAATAAATAATTAGAAAAATTCAATTAAATATAAATTGACAGGAAAATTTATTGGAATTAATACATAATTTATTTTTTAATTAATTTTCATAACAATTAACTACAGCTGACAAGTGTGTAAAGGGTGACCAAAAAGAAAAGTGCAGAATGCAGAAAGAAAAATTTGTCTAAATTTTTTTTTAGCAAAAAAAAGTTGAAAATAATAATTGTTTTCTCGTTGTTTATTAATTACAATTTAGGATATTTTAAATAAACTTTAGACTCACAAAAAAGTTTAAATTTTGATTATAAAAACTGATTTTAAAAATTAAATTTTAATTAAAATTTACCAGGCGGCACATGTGGATGTTGGTGGCGTAGCTCTTATAGGTGATGTACGGGATGACATTGCGCATCCCTCTGAACTGCTTGTACACATTCCACTCGACGTGTATCTTGCATTTGTACTTCCGAGCCACGGCCCGGATGATCATCTCTGAGCCCAAGAAAGCTGCTATCAAATTAAACCGTCAAGTGATGGTAAATTGATTTGATTTTGAATATATGCGTACAAGGTCTGAAAATGTGAATGACGCCCTCGCCATCGGTTTCCTCCAGGTGGTTGTCAATTTCGTTGAAGATGAACGAGAGCACCCATTTCCTGGTTGGGAAGGTGTGCTTCTCTAGCTTCAGGAAGGTTGTGTCCAGGTAGATTTTGTCAAGTTGCAAAACGTCACCTTCATCATGCAGGGCGTCGATTCCCTCCAACTCGAACTCATGCAGGCGGAAATTGCCAGTGTACAAAACGTTTTTGCCCACAAATCGAAAGAGAAACCTATGTATTTTTTTTTTATTTTTTTTTGCAATATTTTAAATTTATAAAACGTACATGCAAGAGCCAACACAGTGTTTTGCTGGGATGGCAGTCACTTTCATAGCAGCTGGCAAACGGTTCCACATAAATCGGATGAAGGTCGGTTCGTCCTCGCGGAGAGGACGCAGTACCTGATCCAGCACATAAGAGGCCTCCTCAGAATGTGCGAACTTGTTCTTCAGGATGATGGAAGACATGACCGTACAGTGCAGTTCCAAGTCTGGCTGGTAAGGAATGTGCTTTGTGAAGCCATCGATCAGGTTCACCATGTGATCTGCAATTTAAGTATATTTGATACATTTGATTATTATTATTATTATTGTTGTTTATTCTTCACAAATCAAGTCAATGAGAATGAGAAAAAATTACAAAATGTGAAGAAACGGCAACACCTCTGGCAAACAAGTTGCTAAAACGCGGAGCCTCAAGAGAGGTCCGCGCCGAGATGGGCCGATATTTAATATTTTGTGTTTATTTTTTCATTATTTATTAAATAACACATTGATCATTCGCCTTGCTTAAAGAATTATATAAAAGAAATCTTTAAAAAAATTAAACAACTAATAACACTCCAATTGACTCTATAGAAACAAATCCCAGTTTCAAATGGACAAGACCTCGTAAAATCCCAGTCTTTTACCAAAAACAATTTTTTATTTTATTCCCTATCACAAAACTTCCGACAATAAAGAAATATGGTTTAATTTACCAATAACGATTCCTTATAGCATAGTCAAATCGTCTTTACAACAATTTTGGCAATTATAGGAAAACCATTTGAACCCATTTGTTGTAGAAATTTGATTTAACTTTTTTGATAAGGGCTTCTTAACTCCTAAATTTGATGAAAATGATTTTGGTGCAGGTACTCCGTTTTTTTCATTGTGTCAAATAATTTTATATGAAAATGGTATTTATTTTTCTATTTTGTAATTTTTATATAATTATATTCCATAATCTGTTTACAATAAACTTGAATTTTCTAAGACTTTTTAAAATTATATAAGTGCATTATATATTTTTGTAAATAAAAGCGCACAATTTCCTGTACGGGTGCGTCTCTGTCTCTAATGCAATTTAGGGGAGGCAAAAAAAAAAAAAAAAAAATGCCAGAACCCAACTCATAAATCTATCAAGACCCAAGAGATTCAAGCGTCGGGGTCGCACCAGGCATGAACATGTGTGCGCGCAAAGTAATTCAAGAGCCGCGGCTGTTTGGTCTTTAGTCACGCATGCCCCTTGTGAATTGTCCCAAATACTGGGGCCTCGCACAGAAGTAAAAAAAATCTGGGTGCAATATACATGTTTTTGTGAGTGCTGCTCCAAAAGGTCCTTCCTTCCCTCCCCACGCATCAATTTTCATAGAAAAACACACACCATCTCAATTTTTAAAGCAAGAAAGGCAAAACGCGAGAAAATTTCTCTTCTCTGCGGCCATAATTTTTTTTCACCAAATAAAAATAGCTAAAAATAATATTTTCTAGTTAAGTCTACCATTTAACTCTATAATTTATTAGGAATAATAAATAAATCCTAATAAATCACTGAAATTTAACTTCATTGAGGTCAAAGCAAATATGTTTGAAAAAACGATCTTTATGCTGACAATTTTAATAACGTGCTCGCTTTAGATAGGGAATACGAGTTTTTTTTTTTAGAACTATCTGTAGATGCTAACACTCGCGCATAAATTGACTGGGAAGAAAATGAGCTCTTTAAAAGAGTAAAATTAATAAAAAAAATCTCAAAATACATCAATTATAATATGGTGCTAAAAGTGTGAGTTATACTTTTGAAAAGGAATCTCTAAACTCTTGCTTGAAACAAATCAAACAAATAAAACTTTCAGAGAGGCAAGATTGCGTAATTTGTGGAAATCTAGCACAGACAAGAATCATTACAAAAATTTCTTTTTTGCCGGTCGTGACCGAAATTTTTAGAGATGCCAAAATATTTTCACTGTTATGATAACTCTCGTAAAGATATTTCGCAGAAAATAAACTTGTGTCGACTTTTGTGATATGATATCAGACTAAAGACTCATAAAAAGACGGAAGTTTATAGCGAATTTGCATAATTGATATAACATTGCATTCCATTTTTTTAAAATCTAATATAACTATTTATATTTTTTTAATGTAAAAAGAAATGTGCAAATAATTACCTGAGTGGCAGTGGGAAAGAAAAAAAGTGGAGCCGCGCTTGAAGTCGTTATCCTGGAAGCTGTCGACGGAAATTCCTTCGATTTCCCTGATGTTGCCGTCAAATTGGAAGCAACTCATGTTGTTTTTGTCACTCACGGAACGCGAAATTTTGAAAGAATGAGCGCAACTGAATCGGACACCCACGCGTGTCAGTAGCAGTTCAGCAACTGACTAGTGACTGGCCTAGAAAAGGTTCTATTCTTTATGCACCCCTCTTTCTCCTATAGGCTGACGGCTGCGCTGCAGAGATAGGGCTCAATATATCTATTATGAATTATGATCCAGCAACAGAGAGACAGATGATTGTTTGTTGCTATTTTTATTACTAAATTTGAAATAAAATATTTTTGCTCTTAATTATAAAAAAATATTTTATTTTTCTTAAAAAAAAAATAATAGAATGATTTTTTTTCTCTTTGCTCCAAGGAGACTCGCAAGTAAATTAAATTGGGATATTATTTCTTGATTTTGAATTTTTAGGTGCATTTTTTATGAGTTTTAGCGAGAAGGTTACTACATAACTAATTCTCTTCCAATGTGATGGTGGCATGATAAATTGAGGGAAAATGAAGGATGGATGGGGGGTGGGCTATTAATTTATTGTAAGCAACAATCGATAACAAAAAAAAAAAACAACAACAATATAAAATCCTGTGTTTCAAGTTTCAAAGTTATTAACCGTCAAACAAATTGTGATTGTTGGATCAGTTTTGAATTCATATTTTCAAATCCCTGAATTCTTTTCCAAATTATAAATTTTAAATGGAATTTGTTCCGGCTGCAATTCTCAACTCCACGAGAAGAATTGAATACAAACGGGCTCTTGCTATGGATTCCATCATGGGTCCCAAAAAGATCCAATCAATGTGCAACCGTTCCCAGCTTTACACCATTCGGGTGGTTGCGCGTGATAACCCCAAGAGCAACGAGTGTAGGTTTTCAAATTTCTAGATAATGCAATTTAATTTTTCTTTGCATGTTTCCACAGCCGCTGAGAGACACGCCCGAAAACTGTGGAAGAGAGGACACAAGAGACGAATCCAGCGAGTTCTTGGGAAGAAGTTCGAACAACCACCAGCTGGAGGAAAGTTAAGGACAACCGGGCTTCCCAATTATGTGACTGATGCTGTTGTGTCCAAAGACATCCAGCATTTAAACTTGTCAGACAAATACGCTCTGGCAGTTATAAATGGCTTCGTCCCTTCAGCTGGACAAGGTTTGAAAAGATAATGAACTGAAAAACTTATATTAAATTAATTTGAACTCTCAGGTCGTAACGTTGTCACGGACTACCTTCGTCCTTTTTTGACTCCCCAGATGGATCTTGTCCATGACGATGGGGAGGTCAATGAAATGGACGACGATGACGAATTCACCAGAGCTGGCAGCCGTCAACAGGCCCTCGCAGCTGGCCATCGACATGCGCACTTTGAACTTGGCCGTGTGCAGAATTAGAAATTAGGAGAAATAATTATTTAAAACTTTTCAATACATATTTATTGATAATTTTGACAATTAATGTAGGAAATTATTCAACATTAAATTGAAAAAAATTTACACAAAGGAGTTCAACGCAAATTCTCTCTTAATCAGGAGCACTGCAAAACCTTACATTTCAGAATCATATACATAAATGCACAAAGATCTTTTATTATTCTTTTAAACAGTAATTGCTTATTTCTTCTTTTTGAAAAGTTGTGGCTGTACAGCTGACGTGACGGTGTACGTCTTTTGGGAAATGTTGTTGACAAAGTACAGCGAAATGAGAGAGAAAATCAGGCTGGTCAAAATAGTTTACATTTTAGTCATTTTTAACAAATAGAGTAAATTTAAGAGTCTCACCAAGTGGTTGTGCAAACGCGATGAATCATTCCTGCAGCAAAGACCGACCCAACCAAGCAAATAATAACTGAAATTAGATAGAAGTCTTAATTTACGTATACCAAAAAGTTGGTTATTACTTTACCTTCAGGTAGTTTTGTCTGAAAGTCCTTGCCAAACATCAATGCTTCCAAATTGCCAATAGCCTAAATTTTTAATCAAGGAAAACAATTTATTTATTCAATGGAAATTTGGTCACAAATTTAAAAAAGGACAGGAAATAAATATTCAATTTAATAAAACATAGAAATTTAAAATATTTTGATAATTTTTGGTGATTTTAAATATGTTTTGTTTTTAATAATACCGTCAAAGACAAAATGAAAAGGACTGATCCTAGATAGCCTCCAAAGATGGTCTGCACTTGCGAGGCAGCCAGCCACTGCTTGTACATTTGCATGCCGGAGAAAAGCAAAATGCTGAAAATTGAAGCCAAGGCAAAGGAAGTTCCGCTCGAGACGGCTGAAAATAAGAAATGATCGGTAAATAATAATTTCATTTGGGATTTATCAACAAATAGTTACCCATCGTGGAAAATAATAATGTATGAGAATCGGTATTAGAGCAAAAAAGAAGAGATTATTTGTGTTTTGAGATTCGAAAATTTGACGTGGAATAAATTTTTGTTTTGCCGGCTGAGCCACGCCCCCTTTTGCGCTTCCCACTGCTAGCACCTCTAGCGGAGGGTTAAGCAAACGTGCGCGGCAAAATCACAGCTGACGGAGAATACGGAGATAACGCCGTGGAAAAGCGTGACGATTTCCTTCCGAATTTTACTTTCTTTTACATGACCACGTCAAAACTTAGTTTTCTGGAGCCTTTTTTTTCAAAATTTGATTCAAGGTATAACACCAATGCGTCCGAAACTTATTATTGTAGCTTTTAACAAAGCAAATATGTTACTCAAGCGCTTCTACATAATGATCTGCATTATTTTTTGTTGTTGTTTTAGAGTTTTTTCCAATTGTTAAAATTTGAACTCCATTCCATTGTTGCAGGTTCTTATTTAACTGATTTCGACTTTGTTTGAATATCCGAAATGGACGACGACGACGAATTCACCGGAGCTGGCAGTCGCCTGGCCAAAATTAGGGCTGCGATCGACGCAGAGCTCAAAAACAAGCAAACCGAGGAGCTGGACGTTTTTTCCATTCTCGGATCGGGGTCAAGGAAGCCTGCTGAGACGGTGGAGAAAAGCGCAGCCAAGAAGCCCAGCCCACCAAAAGTTCAAAAGCTGACTTTGGAAAGTCCAACTGCAGAGGAGGTCGATGAAGACGGCAACGAAATAATACTCTCGAGTACAGATGAGGAGGAAAAGGAGCAGATGCTTGAGATGGTCAGGCGCAAAGTGCGCAAGGAAAACAAGAACAGGGCAAACTACTTTAGGTGAAACTTCATTTAAAAACGTCAGTCGCAAAAAAAATAATAATAAATTTTCTTATTTCTAGGATGAAAGAAATGGACGCCTCTTTCGATGTTGAGCAGCAAATCTTCTCGTACCTTGATGAAGTGAACCAGAAAGAGTTCGATCGGCGCATGACTGAGGAGAATGAAGAGGTGGAGACCCTGGAGCAAAACTACGAGATGACCGTCAAAGTTCGCTGGAACTTTGGCGACGTCTCCCGATTCAAAATCCGTCGCCTGCAGACCTTTGAGTCCATCTTCAACGCAATTTCTGAGATGCACAATTTGTCCAAGGAGAAAATCGTGCTCGAATTTGGAGAGGACAGCGTACGAGTCACTGCTGAGGACACACCTGACAGCCTGGGAGTCTCGATTGCCCACATTCTCGACGGCTACCCCTTGAAGGAATCTGTTGGCATCTCAGCCCAGGAGGATGAAAACAAAGGCTTGATCGAAATCAAGGTGCAGCTGCGAGACAGACGAGTGGAGAAATTGTCCCTCTTTGTTCGCACGGATGAAAACTTCTCCAAGCTGTACTGCCAGGTGGCTGAGAAGCTGGAGGTGCCTGTGGAGAAACTGAGACTTTTGTTTGAGGGAGACGTCGTGGAACAAGAACAAACAGCTGGAGATCTCGACCTCGAGGGCGGAGAGGTCATGGACTGCATTATTCAAAGCTAAGTCCGTCTAGTTTAATTTGCAAAGACAATGAAAGTAAGAATTTTATTGTAACTCAGAAAAGTGTGAATTTATTTTTTACGATATTAAGACTAAAATAAATAATTCCAGTAATATATTATCAAAAATGCCCACAACATTTTATTTTGCTGATAATGAAATCCAGATTTTGTAGTTCGCACATAATTTCTTTATTTTTATATATGATCTCGTCGAACAATCCACTCATCCATCAAACATAATTTCGCCCAGTTTTATTTGAAAACAATAACTGACCGTGAGAGAAAGGTCCGAATTTTTCGTCAACGAATAAATATCATGACTTAGTATTTAGTAACATCGTGTGTGTGATGATAGGAGTCTTTGATAAAATGTGAGTTTCTATTCATATATATCTCATTGAAAGCTTTATTCTCCATATTTACACGTGAATAATAAATTCCACCGTTTTTGTTACATGTACACATGATACACCATACATATCTGTTTGAATTCAATGCAACAGCAGCAGGACACACTTTCAGAAAATAGAAAATCAATGAAAAACTCTTACCTTTACAAGTACTTTGCTTTTTACATATTAGAAATAAGTGCTCTCTTAACGTTAAACAATTCTCGGTTTGCAGCTTTTTATTGATTTTGAGAGAATAAGAGTTGTGCTTCACAGTTCAAACTTTTTCTTCTTCCTCTTTGATAAATATCAAATATTTAACTTATCGATTGATATTATTCTCGTTTTTACGATTTTTTTTGTAGTGACAGTAGAAATGGTAAAAGTATCATGCTCATCTCCTCGTTTTCCGGCCTAATCGGAAAAGAGTGTTCTTCGCCTGGTGACTATTAATATTTATTTACAATAACTTTAGAATCGGTGTAAACATTCTCGTATTGGCATTTTCAACAATCAAACAGTAATATAACCGATGCTGCACTAGAATTATATCCACGTGTATTATTTAAAAAAGACAGCGACGAAATAATTTAAAGTAACGAATATAGGAAAAATGCTCGGTCTTTTGCGTCCCTCAAACATTTGATGCACATCGATGGAATTTCGGAATGATATTTTACAGTTATTGTATTTAACAGTAAATATATACGCAGTAAAGCAGCAGTTTTAAGTCAGTTCTCGTAACATGGAAATAAAATAATGTCGTAGCACCCTTTCTAGTTAAATTTCAACAAGATCAATCGGAGAGAGATATGGCTTATTCTTCACCTATTGTACAAACGCGTTGCAAATAATCAATTAGCGAGCGCTCACATCGAATCGAATCAAAATTTCCACTTTTCCTATGTGTGTGTTGAGTATACCGATAGACACGCTCTCTGTTTAATTTTTTTTATTATTATTTTTATCGGGAGTGGTGAGAACAATTTTGATTTGGCGAGCGGAACAATGATTTTTCCGCGGTCACGTCCCGAGAGTAAAAAATATTCCGATAAACGAAAAGCGCTAATTTGACGCTAATTTGACGCTACGGCGGTGACGCTCGCCGCAAAAATACGATTGTTCCACTTGAGGAAAAAATGGTCCGTCAGAGACAACTTGGGCGAGAAAGACAGCATTTGATCACTCCCACCACCGACAGTTGTATTGTTAATTAAGTTAGACGAGAATTGTATTTTGATAGGTTTGGAGAATTGGATGACGAACAACAACACCCAGAATTGTAGCGCGGAAATGATCGAGAGAGCGAAAACGCACGTTTTTAATTTACTTTTATATGTTGAGGAGGAGATCTAGAGCTAGCTGTGTGATTCGAACTAGTGAGAGATGAATTTTTGGCTGAAAGGTTGTTTTTATACAGTGTGTATTGTGGACCTTTTGTTAGTTGAGAGATCAAAGTATAGTGTGTGTGTGTGTGACACGCATTTTTAAGTTTTTCTTTTATTTATATCATTATAATTAGTAGTCTAATGTCGCACAGGTATTAGAGGCTGGTGAATGACTGACTGCGTTACTTAATTCTTCTGGCTCTGTCTTCCTACAAGTTTTAAAGTTACATGTATTGTCATAATTTAATGATTCTCTTCACTCGTCAATTTAAAAACATCTTTTTTGCATAATACTTCTGCTGGGAGAGCAACTAATGATGCGGAATATACTTTTGATCGGGAAAGTAAACAGTGTTTGTGGTTAAAAGTGAGAATTTCACGATTCAATCGAGAGAGTGCCAATTCACCGATTTTTTGTCATTTGATTTCGTTTTATTAAAAATTTTATATATCAATTAATAACCGTTAAGTGCGATTTCTAATTAATAAATATACATATTCAATCGAGTCTTAGTTAGAATAAAAAAAGTTGAAGCCTCAATTGAATAATGAATAGCAATCAACAGTACATTCAATATTAATGATTTGATTGATACTTTAATATTATTTATAATCTATCATCAGGCCGATATCTTTTTATCACAGTGAAAAATGTAACACTTCTGCTTCTGCGTCCTCTCTCTTGTCTCTATTAAAAGTAATATTTTCATTCAACTGAAACGTATTACTTTTATGTATATTGGGCTAATTATGATTCTTCTGAGAGACGTCTCGATCTTTTTTTAATGAAACAGGGGTGAGATAGAGAGAGAGTTAAGTATAGTGATCGAGTTTCCGTTTTTAGTTAAGTGTTTTTGTGTGAATCAATAGCAACGCTGGTCTAGAAAAGGAGGATTGCGATTTCTTCGTTTATACAAATACAAGTAAAGAGAGGATTGATTAGCCGTAGGTGGCGAGTTAATTTACATAAGTTTGATGTGTATGTTTTGTGAGTGATTTATATTTATATATAAATGCTGATCCTATCCATAGAGTTGACGTGAAGAGCGTATATAGTTTTTATTTTTCTATATGCGCACTTGTTTGCTTCACTGCTTTTATAGAAAAATTGATGGTAGTGTTTGTGTGTGTTAAGTTGATAATATAGATGTCTAGCACAGGGGATTATGCACAATATTCAACAATTCTTATTTAGTCTGGGGCAGGGCTATTTTCTCGTTTGTATGTAATTATACAATAATATCGTTTTCCATACTTTTAAACACAGTTACACATTTTGCCTAGTTCATATTACAAGTGATGGCTGGAACACAACGCTTTAGGAAGGCATTATGAAATGTAATCTTCTCATATCTCTCGTTTAAATGTGTTTATAGATTTCATACCGACCGCTTTTCTGTTTAATATACTTGCGATTTTTTTATAATCCATAGGTATTTATTACATTTCTAGGTGAGTAAATATTCATTTTTTGTTCTGTTCGTATATTGCAGCTAAACTGTTTCCAAATATAAAAATTGGACGCTCCGCCAGCGCGGGCGTCGTATTGTGTACTGTGACATTAAAATTAGAGACTATAATCGTATTTTTAATTTATTTGTTCGCTTAAATCCATTCATGTTCATATTGAGTTTTCATTGTATGAATTTTGATTTTGACGTGCTTATTCTTCCGACACGAGAGACGAGTCCCATTTCATGGACACTTAATTAAATTGGTTCCGTTTACCTGTTGTTAAAAATTAGTAGATCAAGTTTTATGTCAGTGGAAACTTCGCGCAAAACACATATCTTTGAGACGTTATTTAAAACCCTGTCAAATAGTAGGTGGAAAAAATCTGGAAATATTCACTGAATAGGCGTAAAATCTACCGACGACCAACAACAAATCATCCTACTTAATATTACAGCAGAGTTCTTGATCATTTTGTGTGTGTCGGTTTGATATTTTATTCCTTAAGTCGCTTATGTGGCTATTTACTCGACCCCCACACAGTGGTTCCGGTGGCTTCGAAGACTTTGGTTTGAGCTACTTTAAGGCGCGTTCACGATTGGCTCTTCCTGACGGATGTCCGACTTGAGTTTGACAAACTCCTTCGCAACCTCGTCGTTGCTGCGCTGCGACAGAATCCGCAAAATCGTCCAACCAGTCTCGTCCATTTGAATGCGCTTCCCAAGCGACAACCAGCAGGCGCAAGATCCCTGTATTCAACCAATTCAAAAATCACACTAATTGATCCGATTTGTCCAAAGTACCTGCTCCACGATATCCTTCAGCTGCAACAGAGCCACACCAACCAGCCTGTCGTCCCTGGCAAAGCAGTAGTCCTTGATGCAGATGTGCAGCTCGAAGTAGTCTAGCTGCTCCTCGTTTCCAATCATGCTGAAATTTTTATTTTTGGTCAATCAAAAAATTATAATTTTAAATTAAAAATTTACAAGTGGAAGGTCTCGTTGAATTTCGGCGACCAACAGTTTGACTTGGACTTGGTCGCCTGCTTCCTCTTCTTGTCTGCCAGGTGCGGGCCTATCAAGTTGGTTTCGACAAAGGGTCGGAACATTCCAGACTGAATCACCCATTTCAGGTCGTTAGCAGCAACAACTAAAGCATTAATTTTCGGTCAACATGATTGAAGATGTAGGAAAAGATTGATTTAAAAAATAACAGAAATTATTTTATTAATTTTGCACTTCATTTTATGTGAAATTTAATATTTTTTATTTACCTTTGACTGTGACCTTGTGTTCACCAGTGCCAGGGTGTTTAAAAAGATCAACTTGGACGGACACCTCGCCTACACTGCCCTCGTCTGTCGCGTCTGCAAGCGATTCCCATTTAAAAATTGTTTGCTGAACACTTTCAAATATATACATTCAAAACTATCAAGTACAAAGTAATCATGCTTCATGCACAGAAGACTAGCGCTCTAAAGAGGTTGAGATAGAGATTGAGGTTGAAGCAGCTTTTGAAAGGATGAATTAAAGAGAGGGTAAGAGTTTTCGTATACAAGTTTTACAAAGTATTTGGGCTGTCCTGTAATGCGTTGAACTTTGAAAAAAAAAGTATAATGTGTCAAAAGGGGAGCATATTGAAAGCAATTTTTCAAAACTTTTGTTAAATATAAATACATAGATAATATGAAATTTGTACAGATTATTTTTTAAATGCATGTGCGGTGATATGGTGCTGCTGTGTATTCGTTTGATCCAAATTCTTTATCATGCTAATTCTATGATTTTTGGATAAATATTAAATTTAAATTTTTCTTGAGTCGATTGTGGTCAGGCGTGAGTACAAAGTGACGAGAGACGGACGATCTAAACTGTCAAATGACTAAAGCTCAGTCTGCTCTAGAATGCCAGCAGGCATTTTACCTTCGACGTGTTCTTTAGGCCTTCTTGACTTGAGGGGTTCCTCAAGATTGCCGTCCTCTGCTGCCTCTCGGTCAACAGAGACTGAGCGTTGTTTCAAATTCTTTTTGTTGTTCAACGGAACTTTGGTAGAGCAACAGATAGAAAGTGTTATAAACAGCTGTCAGTAGAGAGGTTTAGGGGGAGAATAAAATACGAAAATTTCAATCCAAAAACAAAACGGTTAACCAGCTTGGAAAATTTTGCTTTTTTTCCACAATCAAGAATTCCAGTCTGGCTAAAAAACCAAAGTACACCAAAAAGAATGAAGTGAGAGAAAGGGTTGATTGCGTGAGAGACATTAAACATTCATTTCCAACACCAATTCAAATTAAAATTAAAACATCCACCCCAATTTAATAAGTGAATCAGATTTTTCAAAGCCCCCAAAAATTTTTATGTTTAAAATTATTATATCAGTTCAAAGTGCAATTTCAAATAAGTATTATAGGCGCGCCAAATGAGATCAAACTCCTACCTTGATTGGTCTGAGACTGGACAAATGTCTTGATCAAGGCGTCCGTTGTCTGCGTGTACAAAGACAGGGCGTATCTCAGAGACTGCAGCTCGGCGCTCTTCTCCAGGAAGGCCTTCTTCAGTCCGTTTCCTCCCGCGTGGAAGTATTGTTTGATTGTGTCAAGAGCTGCCTCTAAGACCGCACACTGCTTCGGTGATAAATTCTTCTCCACTTCCTACATTTGGAGTAATTTAATAAAAACATTTTAAAAAATTTCAGAAATAAGCAAGCAATGAAAAGCTTTCGTACAATGACGCCGCTGAGCGCATTTTTGACGTCCTGCTTGCCGGCCATGTGATTTTTGAAAAGCCGAGACATGTCCTCGATTTTTGCGTTGGCTGCTAAATTCTTCGCGTTGTCCTTCAAGTTTTTAAGCATCATCTGCAGCGAAAAGCGCGGAGGTTGAGTGTTAATTAAGCTCATCAGGCATTAGTAATTTTATTGTATTTTTAGATATATCTTTGAAACATATTGAAGGAAACACTTACGCTCTTGTCAGTCATGGGTGGGAGCACCACGGTCTTTTCCAGGATCCGCATCACAATCTTCCACAGCTCCTTCAGCAAACGTTTCAAAACAGTCTTTTCACACGACTGTGCGTAGAGGGACAGCGAACCTGTTGAGATTTTGAAGGGTTGATTTTCTATTTATTAAAGGAAGATAAAAACAAAAAGTTTTAAAGATGAAAATTTTATGAAATTCTTTAAAGCCAAATCCATTATTACACTGTAAGATGTTAAAGTAGAAAATTATTAGATGAGAGCCAAATTGTTTATTTTATTTTATTTGTATTTTTTTTTTAATCTGTTAGATCGTAAATTTGTCCTCTTCAGGTTACTTTAAATATTCCTTTAGAACACAATTAATTTTATTTTTTATTTTTATGACCATAAAACCTCAATAAATATAACTAGAACAAAATCTTTATCGCGAATTTAGTTTTAAATAAAAACTACCACTGCAGATTGAAAAATAATATTCTTTTAAAATATATGAAGTCTATCAATAGATTTTTTTAACACACCATCCAGCAAGTCCATGAGCGGCCGCAGGACCTCATCGGCTTCAGCTGCCACGGCGTTGCGCTGCGAGGGCTGCACCTGTCCGCCGCCCTTGACCGAGAGCAGCAAGTCTCCAAGCTCTCTCACGCTGACTGTGATCCTGTTCTCCAAACTGACGGCAAACAACATGGCGAGGTCGTCGAGCGCCGAGTTGAGCGTGTTCTGCAGTTCGTTGAGGATGTTGGCCGCGTCCTGCTCCAGCTTCTCGCCACCCATCGACTCAAACATCTTCTCCAGCTGCACCCGCAGCTGCTGGATGTTGTTCATCAAAATGCACGCCACCCGCTCGTCCTGCACGTGGTTGGGGAAGTCGGCCTTGACGATTTCAGCGTACGCCACCAGCACTTTGACGATGGTCTTGGCAAAACGCTTCATGTACCGCTTCCAGATCTCCGGGTCGGGACACTCGAGTTTCGACACCACGTCAAAGCACTGCGTCAGCTGCGTGAACACATCCACCACCGAACAGGAGAAGAGCGAGTGTTCGCTGCTTCGTTGGAACTGTAAAAAATTGTAAAAACATTTAAGTTTTGTATAAACTCTAATAATCAATTAAATGACAAAGAAACAGATATTATCAGATAATTATAATCTGTAAAATATAATCTGTAAGATAATATTTTCATTTTCTACCAAATTAATTTTAAACTGATTTTTCTCATTTAATATCTAATCTAACTGTTAAAAAATTACTACAAATTATACAATAATAGATTACAATTTTGGCATTAGATTGTACAGAAATATTTATGATTGTAAATTCATGCACAATTGCATATCATTATTTCATTATTTTAATGGGAAAGCAAACAAAAATGGAGAAATACTAAAACATGTAAAATAATTTATAATATTTAATTACTAAAATTAAAATATTCTTAAAATAAAAATTTTGTAAATAAATTTACCGGCGGGAATTGTCATTGATATAAATTTAATTATAATTTAAAGTAATTGATGTTAAAATGAAGATAAAATAGTTTTAATATAAATTTAAAAAACTTTAATTAACCATTAATTAATTCTTATCAATTTTTACTCACGCCGTCTTTCAGGTCCCTTTTGTAAGCGCCATGGAGGTATTCAAGAGAAACATCGTCGTTTTCATTCAGCCACTGCATGACAAACGGTTCGAACCACCTGCAAAATCAAGAGTAGGCAACTTGTAAAACGTGCTTGAAAACCCGGTTGCATAAATCAATTTTCATTTCACATAGAACTTGATAGATCATTTTTTGGCATTTCTTAGGATTGAAAGTTAATTTGCCTGTTGGCAAACTTACGCTGGATATTCAGGCACTGCTCCTTTGTACGGTGGCACGTCCGTGACGTAGTTGGTGTGCAGCCATTTGACTTTGAAGTGGAGATTCATGTACGCCGAAGATTTGCATAATCTATGCTGCTCGTGCTCCTCTAACGCATACTTCATGTCCATGGCGAACAGACTCCACATCGTGGCGGCCGACAGCTGCAAAAGGAGGAAAACCAACTTGAATTCTTCCGAGAGGGAGGGAAAAATGCGATTCCTACCTGCCCGATGTTGAGCTCTTGAGGGAACTGATTCAGCACGGGAGCGTAGCTGTTTCTGTCTTCCTCGATCACAGATACAATAAGTGCAGTTAATTTGTGCCAGAAGTCGAGACTATCCAATCTTGGTCCATTGTCTTCAGAGTCTTTTTTGATTTCATTTGGATCAACCTGAAAATTTGTCAGAAGAAAATCAAATTATTTGTGTAATTTTCCACAAAAAACACATTTTTAACTAATAAAATAATTTAATATATTATATGTTAGTTAATTTTTAATTAATGATAAAATGGGGAGAAACTCACTTGAAATTCTCTATTGTAAAGCTCGTAGCAGTTCTCAAAGAGGAACTGGTAAGTGGAACGGAGGCATGCTTTCACACAATCTTTCACCACGATGCTCGCTCTCGGAGGACTGGATAACTCTTGGACCTGCATCAAGAGGGGGTGTTAGATTTCCGAGTGAGGGAGAGTGCAAATAAGTCAATGCCTTCATTCTGAAGAAAGTAATGGAAGTGAGGAGGTCAACAGTGGATTTCAAATCCATAAGCTTCTCCTTGCTGGAGGCGGGGAAGTTGTTTCTGTACATGGAGAGGTCGATGCGCAGTGAGTTGTGCAGCTGGTCCAACAGTTTGACAAACTTCTCCTTGCCGAAGTTGGAGGCGGCGAAGCGGTCGCTGGCCGACACGGCGCTCGACGCCGTCGTGTGTGCGTAGTAGGCGTTAATGTTGGCGAGCAGGGTGCTCATCACAGCCGGGACGCCTGGGCACAGGTACTTGGTCGACAGGCAGTGGAAGTGCCTTCAAATTGTCAAATGATTAAATTTCCTTGTCAAAAGGTGGAGAAATGTAAAAAAAATTTCCAATCAGCAAAAAAAATAAACTTTTTACGCTCTTTGTCTCATATTTTTTCATTCATAATTTACGTTTAGCTCAGTTTCAAATTTGTTTACTTAAATTTTACACCTTAAGACTAAAATTTTTTCTTCATTAAAATTGTGAAACATTATTCAATATTTTTGCTAAAATTAATTATTTTCATAATAATTATTCCATTTAAACTTTGATTTTGAATTTAATATTCCAAGTTATAAAAAAACTTTATTATTCCTTTCAAAGATTTCATAGCATGGCTCTCTGTTGGGAAAATGGTGACATTAGGTTTCGCTGGTATTAAGAGAAGACGCATTTGGTCCACTAATCTTGTTGAATCGGAAAGTTTCCGCGCACTTTCACCGCGTACTTGTCAAGAGCACTTACAGCGAGGGTAAAAGTAAGAACTCACGTCATGGCTTGATAAATGGACTCTATGCCGTAACGCATCGCAAATTCGTCTACTATGTCCTGAGCGGCTTCGTCAAAGTACACCTTCCAGGCGTCATCACCCTTCACTTGAGGTAGATTCACAACGCCACCGTTATTCTCGCACAGTGAGTGGAACAGATTTTCGTGAAGACATGTGTACTGGACGTGATATGGTGCCACCTGCAATGGAAAAAGCATCAAATCCGCCATGCCTTATCAAAGATAAAAATCTGTAGTTGAACGCTACTGCCTTATAAATAGATTAGGAAAAAAAATTTGCTAATCGTGAGGTTAAAAATGAAATATAAAATAATTATATTAAAATGTCATTAAAAACATTTTCAGAAAACTTTTAATTTTTTCACGACTAGGATATTTTTTTGCTTGAAAAATAATTTTTAAATCAATATTTAAATTATTATTATGAAGGTAGCAACAGGTAGCAATGCATTGAAAAAATTGCGAACAATAACAAAATATCTGGGAAAAAATATTATAAAATTTTAAATTTGTTTGTCAAAATAATATTAATAATTTAATTATAATAAAAACTTCATCTTTAACGTAATGAGCAGAAAACTTTCAACCAGCAAACACGTTAAAATTAAATACCAAAGCTTCAGTTGATTAAATGATTTAAATTGTTACAAAGAATTAGCTCTGTATGTATTTGAATACATTTTTATTGTTAAACAAATTTATCTTTTTTTAGATATTTGATGACAAAACCAACCAAATAAAGTCGTCCTACCTTTTCCTCTCCTTTGATTTCAACGCTGATGTGCAGCCTGATGGCTCCAGAGACGGCCGACTTGTCTGTCCGCTTTTCCAAATTGTACCAGACGTCCATCTCGCCGGAGAGCGTGCGCACCTCGATGATGGTCTGTCCGAGGAAATCGTCCGACTCCCTGGTCAGCTTCTGCCGCAGCTTGGACTTGAGGTCATTGTCCTCGTCCCAGACGCGCACCTTGATGCGGTCTGACGAGTTGTGGCATTCGCTGAAAATTCGCCACAATTACAAAATCTGCGCTAGAGCAGCCGCTTTTCACACTTACAAATAGAACTTCTCGCTCCACACCGGGTTCAGTTCTTGGGGCATTGTGCGCGTTCTTTTCTTAACCTTTCCTACTTGTACTGTGACGTAAGGGTCTGAGGTGCCGCTCTTGTCCTTTGCAATCAGGCCTTGTGCGCAAATTACTGAAAACAAGACCGCTCGGTTAGCAACGACGGGCTCCAGGGTCCACTAAAGACGTTCATGAGCAAGGGAAGCTATGTGGCCGCAACTTTATTTTTATTCACTCTGAACTCAACTGAAGATGAAAAGCAAACTACCTTAATTGTAAGACGTATTTTAAAAATGGGAAATTTTTGTTTTTCATAATGCAACCGAAATTCATCTCATTTAATAACCCTATTTAATAACATGAAACCTTGATTTGAGTATAATATTCATATTTAAAACCCTTGTCTCTGCCCGAAGAAATGACTCATTTAAGAGGTTAACTTGAATTTATATTTTTATTGAACTCGTCTTCCAATTTTTATCAAATTTTACTTAAAATTTAAATTAGGTCGGTGTTTTTTTCGCCATGGATTATTGATTTCTTAAAAAAAAACTCGCTATAAATGGCAAAATGTTTACTTCTGAAAAAAATTTTAAACAATTAGAATCCCTAAGTTAATCTTGGCTCATTTAGAAAAATCTTTACTCGTTTAAGGTAGTTAACTTTTCAATGTTGCCATTATGGCAGTTGTGTATTTTCCTTGAAATTTCATTTGTTGCCAGATAGCCTCTAAAATTTATGGAAGTGAATGTTGTAGTACACCATGCCACACGTACTCAACATGCAAAACGCTCCTCGCGCGCTCAGCCAGCCAAACTTTTGTCTCGTTTTTTCTCAAGCACACACGTTCAAGATAAAAAGCTACAATTTAAATGCAAAGTGAGCAAGCAGAAGCGCTACACAATCTACAGTTTGGAAGCGAAAAAGTGCTGGGGCAACTGTACAAAAATACGAGAACGATTATTCACAGCAATATTATATTAAAGCTACGATTCTGCTCTCGCTACTCGAGACCCGCGCTGTTTGGGATATTTTATATATAAACAACAGTATAATATTAAACCCAAAAGCGACCGTGCCGGATGGAAAGTGGTCGCTTTTGTGCTGGTGGTGACAAGTAGTGACTCTGCCCACTGAGAGATTCTGCAATGCTGAAAGTCGTTTGTGAACAAAACTGGTGTGCTCTCGTGGTTTATGTGTGTTGTGTGTTGCGGGAATTATTGAGCTGATCTGTCTCGTGTAGGAGTTTCAAAGTAAAAGAAATGCGTAATTACAATTATCCTGCTGTAAAAGTATAAAAGTATAAACTAAAAGCAAAATTTGAATCCAATCTACGAAATTTAAATTTTTAAGATAATTAAATTTTGAGGTCAAATCAAATGTAAAGCATTAAAAAATTTCACAGCCAACTTGAATTAAATTTTTTACTTTCTTTTATTAAAAGCAATCAAATCTACGGCGGTTGAGAAATGCCTACAGTACGGCTTAATGTTGTCTATCAATATTTATAACCCTTCTAAAAATTATCAAAAGTTTCATTGTTCTCTCAAGACAAGACCCATGCCCTAAAATGCTGATTTTTAATGAAAATTTAACTAATTGTAAGTGATCGCTTTGAATTGCACTCTATTGGAAAATTGCTATCAGGAAAATGTGAGAAATCGCGTGTTGTGTAATTTTATATATTGCCAGGGAATCTTCAACCTCTACATGCTCCTTTCTATAGAGAAATAATCAAGAGGAAATATTATGGATGGCGAGAAAAAGATTACTATTCGTATTGGTATTTCAAAAGTCACGATCGTCTAATTAATTTTCAAATTCAGAAAAAAATATGATTAATATGCAAACCTGCACAAAGCTAGAGTCAATACAAGAAGTTTCTCTTAATTAATACATTGCAATTTTATTAACATGAAATTTACTAGACGAGTTTGCCCTCAGGTTGCATTTTTCAAAACTTGCTCAAAAGATCAAAACCTTTGAGAAATCCAATAGAAAATTCTAAAAAGTCGCCCTACAAAATGTTTCCTCAAAAGTGAGTGTTGCGGACCAGCCATACCAAAGTCAGACAGAAGAGGGATGGTATAATTTTGCAAGTACTTGTGCAAAATGTAATTTTCTATATAGTTTTTTAATATTGCAAAGTTGACAAATTGACAACAACCAGAAAGTTTTTAGAGTTTGTCCTTGAACCATTTTGAGTTTAGATTGGAGAGAAAGATATAAGAGATAGAGAGAGGATGTGATAATTCTTTGGCGTTGCATTATGCGATTTGCCGATACCTGTAATAGCGATCTTGCAAGACCACTTGGAAGTGCCCTCTAATACGATTTCCTCGGCTTGTTCTAGGGAATCTATATGAGTATCTGGGTCCACTGAAAATGTGGTTCTGTGGAGAAGAACAAAAAACACAAAACACACCACATCAATATGTAAAACAGAACAAACGATAGAGAAAAAGAGAGCAGAAAAGAGAAAACAACAGATCTCTTGTTTGTGTCTCGTTGGGGAGGAAGGGCAAAAAACCCTTTCGTCTCTCGGCGTCCAAAACAAGCGATAAGACGACGGCAGTTCTGCTCCCGTAACGGCGGCGACGGCGGCGTCCACGGTGAAAACACGTTCAAGGAGTCTCAACACAGCAGGGGGGTGGTGGGAGATTTGTTTTCAACACATTCAAACGCATTATTAATAAGTACTTTGAGCAGTTCCTTATTAAGATGCGCCATGCCCAGCACATTTACATTCATTTGAAAACAGAGAGAAGGAGACGCGAGACGGCGAAGCTGGCATTTCCGCCTTTTATTGTTATTGCGACGCGAGTGCGAAATGGCCCTTTTCTCGATAACATTCACGGCGAGACGAGGGAGCACAGAAATGAGCGGCTTTTGAATTTTGTGCAACGCGGCGCACGGAAAATGTGTTTCAGGGGCTTTGCCAAAGAGTCATTCATGCCAAGTAAAATTGCTCATGCACGCGAGTTAAATGGCAAAATGGCGTTGTTTCTCATTCTTGGCTTTGCGTTAAGTTGCAATTTTGGTTTAGTGTTACACTGAATTGCATGACGCCTTGAATCCACAGACAAGGATACAAAAAATCACAAAAAATAAAATCTCCACAATCAAGTTGTGCAAGATTTAATTAATTTAACAATAATATGAAAAAATGATCTTTTAAAATAAATAATTAACGAAATCTTTAAAATTTCTATTTCATCGAACCACGGGGAACAATTTTTATGAGAATTTTTTTTTAACTTGCATTATAAAAAGATTGATAACCTCATAAAAATAAGCTAAATTTTTCACAACTAAGCAAGCCTATTTTCCTTTTAAAGAACAATTTTAATTCTTAGGTATAATTTAAATGAAAAGTGTGGCAAACCATTAAATATAGTAATTTAGAGTTTAGAGTAAAAAAACCCTCTCAGTTTAAATTAAAATTAAATTGAACAAGCAATTTACAAAAGCTCGCGGGCTCGACGTTTCAGCTGAAGTTTGATATTGAATTTTATTGCAGCCACGCTCAACCCTCCAGCAATAGAATGCAGATGGGTAGCTGCGAAAAGGCAGTTCGGTGTAACAGAAACCTGAAGCGGAAGCAGAATTCCAATAAGCCAATACAATTCAGCTCGGTGGGCTTTGTTCATCTGTTACAAATTGGGGTGAAAAACGCGTCACACTCGCACCAGCAATCAAATGTTTTTATATTTATGTACAGCGTGAAAATGCCAACTCACACGCGTCACTTTGTTTTTTAATAATTAAAAAGCAGCTCTGTTCAAAGCCTGCACGATCAAAATTCATTTGGAAACACCGCAGACACGATCATATAAAAAGACACAGAGGTAGTTTTATTTTTTGCATCTGCAAGGGACAAACCTGTGATGGCAATCTTTGCCGACCACTTGCTGGTGCCATCGAGGACCGACTGCTTCACTGCTTTCATGTGGCCGATGTGGCTCTTTTCCTCGACTCCGAAAACGGCTCTAAAAGTGCGTTAGTTTTGGGCTGCAGGTTACATTTGTGAAAAAGAGGCGGGTAGAGGGTGCGTGTCGGCTCGGCCGATCGATAATTTGGGGCTCTGTGTCATCGGAACGCGGCGCGAGAGGCAAAGAAAAGCGAGACGAACAATTCATCGGAAGAACTTGTTACTCCAGAGAAAAGTGATAAAATTTGGCAGAATTTCATTGGAATATTTATGAATTGCTCATGAATAATTTAGCACCAGACTGATTTCGTTCCCCAGGCACGTGTGCCGCAGGTTGGAAAGTAATGAGGAATTTTATTTCTCTTCTCGCGCGGTGTAACTTTGTTGACTTATCAATCACGGCTTTTCCACGAGTGCCACTTTTCCGAAATCTGGAAGCTACTTCGAGAGGAGATGCAAATATTCGACTCTCCCCTAATGTTTGCTCGCGGTTTGCATTTTAAAAAGGCGGAACATCAAAGGGCAGCTATTTTGGTGCACCAAAAACTAGGGGGAATGAAAATTGATGGAAATCTTCTGAAGGAGCTAAATCGATGACCATTAGTTGAATTTTCGATGCAAACCGGTGCCGTTGGGAAACGAATGTATTGATTTTAACCAAGAGCCGCCCTTCATTTGTGACGAGGAAGATTTACTGGGGATTAATAATCCTCTTGGGGAGGAAGTTGGGCACTGGGTGGGTGACGAGCTTTGAAGCACCGTCAGGGAATTATTCTGAATGGATGGAGCGCTGGGAGCTCAAAAAACGTTTGATGATTGAAAAAATTAGAGGAAAGTTAAAAACTTCCACCAAAGAAATTAATATTCAATACATTTTATATTTATATATTGTTTGCAATTAGTACATATTTTTTTTTTTTTGCCTTTTTGGGACGGGCTTATTAATGATGCGAATCTTACAATAGCTTTTGGAGCTCCCACGCAGTATTATTTTCCTCTTTCATGACATTATATCAAAGAACAAAAAAGAGTTTGCAAACTCACCTAATAAGCTCAAATATTTCAGGCTTTTCTCTTTCGCGCTGCTTCATGCGCTCCTTCATGGCCGTGATGATGGAGTTGGCCTTGTCTTCGGCGCCGTGTTTGGAACTCTTCTCAGCGGCCCCTGTAACAATGTCATTACGCCTTGTCAGGTGGGCTCAAATTTCCCGCTTTTGTGCGCGTGTGCTTGTTATCTGCAGGCGGAGGACGCTTTCTCCAGATTGCTGAATGAAACGCTCAATGGACTTTTTTGCAAAGGGATTTGTGAAGCGATGTATTTTTGTTAGAAAAATAATGAAAATCTCCTTCGTCGTCGATGAAAAATGATTTCAGCTCTTCTCTTTTGCTCTTTTTATATGATAAGACTTGCGAATTCTATTATTATTTTTTTTTTACTAGGGAAAAAATTTAAATTGAAATTGAAGATTCAATTCAAAATATATTGGAATTGCATTTGTTTTGCTAAATTTAGATTTATAGAATTTGCAATTTTTATGATTCAATTCAATAAATTGCTAAAAATATGACCAAATTTTCAAAAATACTTCCAAATCTACTGCATCTAGTTTGAATCTGATAGGAGATGTGAAAATGAGCTGAAGTATATTTGATTTGTTTGGGCGAATGCGATTACAAGGGACAGAGAAGTTGGTTGAATTCTTCCTGCACCACATCAAAGGCGGCAGCTGCGAATTTTATCAAGTGGCTCGCAGAAATTGGGTGCTGCTCGGGTGGGTGAAAAACGATGCATTGGACCCTCCCGGGGCGGCCACACTCTCTCTATATAAATGTATATTATGTACATCTCAACTCACTTTCGCCGGCCTTTCTCTCTCCGCGTACTTCTATTATTATTCAAAATCAATATATCCCCGGCGACTACACAGTAAGTAAAGTTTGCAGCAGCACCAAAATGTCAGAGTTCAAATCCGTGCTGCCGCCTTCTCAATCAAGCTGTGCGATATTCGCGCAGCTGCCAAAACTTCATGGACGTGTCGCGAAAATATAAAAAGTGATTGATCGAATGCGAGTTTATTAGTCACCGGATTTGTGGCTGCAAAACGAAACGATCAACCGCAGACATGGTCGAGCCAGACATTCTCTAGTTTTGTTTTGCCTGTGCGCTCGTTCAGCCAAATTTAATCTTATTACTCTCGTGTGTGGCGGAAAATCACTTCTCTAAATAGTCGCGTCACGTCCGCATCTTGGCGGAAAACAAGTTTAGCATGCCGCATTCGTGTCGAATCTGCGGGGCACCACATTAGGTCTGATAATGAAATGTCAGGAAACTTAAAATAAATCCAAACAGTCATTCATAATTTTAGTAAAATGGATAGGTCGGAGAAATAAGCGCAGATGTATTTAAAATTCAAACATATTATATCAAAAATTTCTTTATGGCTCGAGAAATTATTTTCATAACATTAATTTTTCTGACACTAAATTTTTGGCGTTCGTTTCAGTTTTCTGACATTTCAATTTAAAAAATAATGTGAGACCCAGAATTTGCTACTTGTGAGAGGAATACAAATTTTTAATGATATTTTCAGGAGAGAAAGTGGACCTGCTTGGTTGAAATACATTTTTTATGCTCATTTTTGCCATCAAAAAATAAAGGGACAATTGGAATGCGTCGCCCTAAATGAAAATAAAAAACAGCAAAAGTTGCTCTTGTCTGACGACTTATTATTTCACTTTTTTTGTGTCACAAGAGCAAAATGCCGCAAATTTAATAACGTGGATGAGAAAGATGAACGGGCGACTTTTTCCCTTTCGTTCCAGTGGAATGAGAATTTACGAAGGAGATGGATTTAACAACCTAAATTGCAGCGAACGACTGTCGAATGAAAAAATATGAGTTTTTGATTCATGAGCGCGCGGCTTTGATATTAAATTTTACGCTCTGCTAGCAAATGTATGAAGTAAAGAAGCGCCACAAATTGCTAGCAAACTTTTTCAATCTTACGATCTTTCAGTTGCTGACCTTCAGTTCCGGAGTCAATATCTGCATATATGAATTTAAATTAATAAATAAGAAAATAAATTTCCAAATAAATTTTTTTAGGAGATAAAACTTACGAAGGCAAAGAGGAAAATAATTGGAGGGCGGAAACCTAACAAGGGCCTTTGATTATATTCGGAAGTGGTGGAAAAGCGGACCGGCCGCTTTTCGCAGTCCCAGCGGGCGGCCAGCTTGTGAGTTTGAATGCGAAAGGGCCATTGTCGGGAAAGAGGCAATAAAAAAGCAGCAAAACTCACTCTGCAAGCAGTCGGCGTTGAGGAGGTCCTTGCACTTCTCGTGGCACTTGACGCCGCACTCGGTGCAGCGGACCCCTTGGCGGGCGATGCCCCACAGGAGCCCCTCGCACTCGTAGCAGTAGGTGGGCGACGTGGCCGTCCACAGGACGAAGTTGTGCGGCGTCGTGCTCGAGATGGGGTAGATGAGCGCCTGCAGCGTCTTCTTGTACACGTGCATTTTCTGCGGGGATGCCAAACTCACGTGAGACAAATCCGTTTTTCAAATTTGACATAAAAAGTATAATGATATGTAAATAACGTGACGTGTACATGATCGCTAAGGTATGTTATATATCGATATACGAACGACTCAAATATGTATGAATGTGGCTATAATATATAATATATAGATCATAATAATAGGTCATGCGGCGCATTTCACCGGCAGAGTCCTATTTAACTCTGCCTTCTGCAAGATAGGGCGCATTCGCAACTCTGGTCAACTGCCAACTACTTTGGCAACTGAGACTCAGCTATCCATAGAATTAATATATATTTACTAATGAAGCTGAAATTAATGAGAGTCGGTTTCTAAAATGCGTCTTCTGTGTGTTCATTTTATGCACAGTTTATTTAATCCAAATTTAATCAGTGCCACTTGGATAAAATTTAATTTGCGTTTTATGTAATAATTTAAATTTTTTATTTGAAAAAATGAAATCCCCAAAATATTGCTGCAAAGCTGTAGCTTGTTAAGTGAGTGAATTTTTGTCGACACTGATTTTTTTGCTGTTGCATGTAGTGTTCTTATTTTTTGCAATATAAATTTTTAAAGTGTTTGCATATTGCTTAATTTGTCCGACAGAAATATAAATAATTACAAAAACTGCTTTTTCCATTGACAAGACTATAAACTACCATCTGCAAAAGTGCACTGTGACACACACAGATTAATCAATATAATGTTATAAATTATATGTATACGACCTCCGCAAATAATGAGATATATATTGAGTAACACACACATTCTCAGACACACATAATACCAATGACGAGGAAACTGAACAATGAGACTTAATTATATAACTTGAGTAACAAGTGATAGTGTGAGAAACGTAACCTATGCTGACACTGATAATTTAATGAATATTTGTGAGTGAGAGTTAAAAACACATTTTTCTCAATTGATGCAATAACAAATGAATGAGAGCTAAAAATATGAAACAATGAGAGATTGAAATGACACGTAAAAAACATGATTGTCTTTAACTAATCAACTAATCCTATGGATACTCTCGTGGATATTTTCATGAAGCTTGGAAGCACAATAGGAGTGGACTTTGCCTAAACTCTAATAGAACTTCGTAATGTCTAAAATGTATGTCTGCGTGTTCAAAAAACCAATATGCCACTATAAATATAACGAGAACGTGGAAAGTAATTTGTAACCAACTTTAGAGGTTGTAAGTTTAGTTGTGCATGGCTAATGTGAAAAGTTGCACTTGATGGAACTGAATGATCTTAATGTTGATCGGTCTCGTCTGATGCACGAGACGCTGGGTGATTTTTGTTTAAAGCGAGTTTATGATGTCGATTTATCAAAGTAAATTACTCTCAACAACATGGAACTGCAAATTTAAATGAGAAAGCGATAACTTTTGTGTTTCTCGTTGTGTTCTCAACTGGGTATAAATATATAAAACGTGAACGAAAAACGATTATAATACGCTGCTACCATGTAAGAAAAGTCATTCTACAGAAAGAAGCTGACGAAGACTAAGTAATTCATGCAATACAAAGAGTGATATGCAGAAGAGGGAGAATTTTGCGTGTGGTTATAAAATTTCCAAACATTCATTACGATTTAATCATTTTTTTTCAGACATCCAAAAGTGCAGTTTTTATTTTCATTTTGTCTTTGAAAAAGACTTGGCATATCACTAAATGTAAAACACGGAAACAGACACGTAAAGCAACGGAGGTTGGGGTTTATAAAGCGCAGAAGCTCCAGAATTCAATTTGGTTGCTTTTACCTGCTCCAAAGGTATACGGGCTGACTGCAAAGGACAACACGCATGAAGAAAAGAGAAAGAGAGAGGGGGTCAAGAGACAACACTTGGATACTTAGCATACACAATGAGAGACAAAAGTGGAAGTGCGTCTGCGAAAAAATTTACGACCGACACACTAGGCTTGGAGAAGCGAAAAGAAAAGAATACGGAAGAGGGAACCGCGCAGAAAACATCGATTTGACCCTCTTCATTTGGCCGAGGGACGGAAAGAGAAGCGTCGTTTTTTGTCATTGCTGCACACAGAGTACATATGTGTAAAGCAATAGACACGGGGCGTATATTTGTCCGGTTCAAGTGTGCATAGTTAAGTATCCGTACAAAACAGAAAGAAAACAGGACACATCTCACGAAAGAAAGAGAAAGAAATCAAATGACAATGAAAACATTCGGCCTTGTAGAGTAAAATGCGTGAGAGGTACAATAACAGTGTATGTACCATTAAAGGGGTTCAGGGGGTGGTGGCGAAGAAAAATATATAGAAAGAGAGACGTGAATATGTATGTCCAGAGTGCTAGACTACAAAATAAATCAAAAATCGAAAAGTAGCCAAATTTGAGAAAAGAGAATTTGAATATGTGGATATATCCTTTCAGTCATTAGTAGTAGTAGAGATTGGACAAACGTTAATAACAGAGTGAAAAAGAAGAGATATTTATAAAGGTGAGGTAGCAGAATCGCACACGTAAAGCCCCCGTGAACGAATATAAAATCCTCCAAAACTCAAAATCGAGTAGAATCAAAACTGGACCAACGGAAAATTAATATTTTCACCCTCATTGCATGTATTTATTTTTCCGGTCGTAAAACAAACAGTTCGCTCTTTAGCTGCACGGTAATTATCGTCATTTTATAGAGCAAAAGGGTTGGTTGGGGCCGACTTACCAGTTCCTCGTCGTTCAAGGTGGCTCGAGGCAGGGCCGAGGTCAGTCCGGCGTTGCGCTTTGTTGCTGCCATTGTCTGCAATGCAAAAAGTTTTTTTATTCGTGGTCGTAACAAAACGGAAATTGTGTGCAAGAAATAAAAATAGAAGTTTCTATTCTATACGTGTGTTTGCGGTCTGTATGTGTGTTAAGGCTCGAGGCGCGAGCACAGATGAATTATACGAGCCAAACTCAAACAAAACCATATCTACCCGCTATTTACAAGGCACGACTAGCTCTCGTTCTGTGTCGAAGATATGAATCGAAATTATATAAGTTAAAAAATACTGCTGAAACGTGAACTTGCAAAGTTTGCCGCAGAAAAAATGAATTTAAATAAAATTCTATGAGAAGCTCCAGTCTTATTAAAATGCTAATTTAATCATGTATAAAAACTCGCTCCTGAACAAAGAGCCAACTTGTGTAAGTGAAACTTCTGCGCGCCTCTATATTTAAATGTGTAATGACCATTATCTCCAACACAGCAAACTAATGTAATAACACGTTGTGAGAGTGTACATGTGTATTTACACGAGCGTCATTTGCATAAATGCTACCGTCGAAAGCGCTAATCTACGATACGACAACGATTGTAATCAACTCCAGTAGCAGCAAAATGTGAGAAATGACTCCAAACCAATTTGGAGTTTATGCTTATCAATGTGAAGAATATAAATTAAAAATTATAAAAAAAATCAGCAGCTCATTTCTACTGAATTTGTTATGAAATTAAATTCATCGTGAAAAAGGGATGCAAAGTGTGGTTTAATGAAGAAACACTGAGATGACATGACGGTCTAACGAGCGTGCAGGAAGGTGTTAATAATATTTCACACGGGGATTAGGGCGGGACGCATACACTGAAAAATGCTTTAGAGCCGACACGACTTTCTCCTCCTAATGCGAGGGAGAATGCCCTGTTCAGATATTAATGGAATACACAATGATGCGCCGCGTGTTCAAAAAGGGTGCATTAGTGTGTGTTTCAAAAGGTTGAGGTCACGTGCATTGTTTTCAGTTTCAACCCCACAAATGGATCAACTTTTAACAATTACAGATGTATTTTTTTTTTCAAAGGAAAACAGAGGAAATATGATATATATTTGGAGGAGTTGAATTTTGTCTAAAAGCGTCTCAATTCATGATCTACTAGTTGCTAATCAAACTCTGTAAGGCATGCACTAGAGTTGATTGGAGTAGTACCTTGAGAACCTGTGATAGTCGAAGGCCAAATCGGAAACACATTGAACGTGGTGATTAGTATCTTGTTGACACACTAACATATAAAACTTCAGGGAAAAGCGCGCATTTTCAGCAGGGAAAAATTGAGAAATTAAAATGTGAATAATCAGGATTGTAAAAAAGCTGTGTTAAAGGAATAACTATAAAATTTATTAAATGATTGAAATTGCACAAAAAAATATTGAAATTATATTAATTATTCTATTTCCAACTAATCAAGTCAGCAGCTCTTGGTTTAATTTTCTATTGACTTGATTCAGGAATGAACAAAAATAAGTTTAATATAAATATTTATTTAATACGTAACTTTTTATTGCATGATATAAAATAATCAGGGCTGTTATTTTCAATTTTTTTTGTAGCAATTAAAGCAGGAAACTTAGAATGTTAATATTATTCAAAATTAAATATTTCTAAATTTTTACGATTTTTACTTAAACTTTCAAGAAACAGAGAAAAGAACCTTGTTTTTGCGATATGTTTTGAGGAAAGCGCAGAACAAACATAATTTTGCAGCAGCAATAAGTTGCGGAAAAAGCGCGCTTTCAGATAAAAGGGGGCTTTTGAGAGAGATAACAGAAGATGTTACAGCATTAGGGCACAGGGAAGCACACACACACATAATAAAATCCCTGACGGTGGGCCTTGGACAAGGATCTGGGCCATACGAGAGAAAGAGAGGGTTGGGGCGAGAAAGTATTATAGTGGTAGTGTAACTGTCACACCAACGTAAAAAGAGAGAGTATATCATAAAACAATGGACCATGTAGGTGAGAGAAACAACATTTTGCGGAAAGTGAGGAAGTAGGGTCTGTTAATTGCCATTAAAGGAGTGACGTCACCACCACCAAAGTATTATTAAGTTTAATGACAACGGGGGGTAGTTAAGGAGAGAGAGGAAATATCAAAAAGTTTTTTTTTTCCAAAAAAAAAGGACAAAGAGAAAAATTGCGCATCTCGACGGGGGTGGATAAAAGCATCACTTGATTGCGAATGAATTTAATTCGTCCGGCGTCGGGGGCAAAAAAAAATGGAGTTTATTTACCAGCTCAGAGACGAGGGGGATGGATTTCCTTCGAGGGCGGATGTCAGGCATGCTGTCGATGTTGCTGTAGAACGGATTGTCTCCTGGGTGCCTGCAATAAAACCAAGAGCAAAAAACACACGTTTATCGACGGTTGAATGCGCAAATCTACGAAAAACAACATTATTAACGCCGTGTTGCTCTTTCCTTCTCTTTCGCTCGCTCGATCGTAAAACGGCCGCTGCCTCCTCTGTTTTATTATGTACTGCTGCGGCTGTTGCTCACTTTCCGCCGGACCGAGATACGTACGGCCGGCCTGCGTCCTGTGGCAACCCGCAAAACAAGATCGCGGCCTACTGCACCGCACCACCCAACTAATTTACGAGCAGATGCACTCGAGACGCCCTGCCCCGCGAATTCCACTCCCGAGAAACGTACAGTATTTCTTAATTTGAGAGAGACTTTGGTCCCTCTGGATAATTTTCTGCCTCTTATTCAACGCTCTGCAGAAATTTTGGAAAATGCAAAAAAAACGGTAAAATTCCATCATAAATAATAAAATTTTATGAATTTTAGAAAAAATAAATTTAAAATTTAACTGATGCTTGAAAATCTTGAATGAGCTTCAGTTCAAAATAAATAATTTCATTTCAATTTTAATGATTGAAAAGTAAAATTTTATTTGTAAATAATTCATATTGAAAATTTACAATTTTAACATAAAATTTTGTGCTTAAGATCGGTCCCTGTAGTTTAATTGTTTGTTGCTTAAACTTTTAAAAAATCAACAGAATAAATTTTATAAATTAAAATTAAAAATAATGCAGTTTAAAAAATTTAAATTATATTAAGAGTTTTAAATAAATGAATCTATAATATAAATAATTGGTATTTCAAAGAAGCTTAATTAAAAGATGAAAAAAGTAGCAGATTATTTCACTACAGGTATATTCCGCTGAAAGGGCTGCCGAGGGCTGCAATTGAGCGGAAATTGGAATTGGCGATCTCTCATCAAAAACAAAGTGGATTTTTTTTTGTGCGCATTCACCACACAAAAGCGCTCGCTCGCCTTCTCATTTCTTTCGGCTGACAGCACCCAAAGAGCAGTTAGATTTATGGCGGAATGGAATTTTCATTTTATCTCGCATTGCTCTACTGATGGTCGGCTCGAGAGAAATGACAAAGTTTGAGTGACGGTGATGTAGAGCTCCTTTCGCGAACGGCCGGCGGGACTGCTTTTAGGCAAAAAGCGGCTGCTGTTTTGGCACGCAGGGCCATTTTTATTCCTCGCAGCTGCGATGCCGAGACGCAAAAAAGGCATCGGAAATGCTTATTGCACAAAAAATCTTATTTTATTTCATCACTCTCCAGGGAGTCGCTGCTCGAAAGTTGAGCTGGGCACGCCAGCCCAACCCCTAGACACCTAGATCCGCCGCCGACTGAGCCTCAAAGTGATGATGCACGCAGATCAATTTCAGATAAACAACATAAAAAGAAATGGCCAAATAAGTAAACCTCTAGGAAATCCTGAGACTGCAATATTTATTATTAACGTTTTTCAAAGTGATTATTATTTAAAAAGATAAATTATTTTTTCTATTAATAAGAACTGGCAGAATTGCAGTTCAATCCATTGCAAAATATTTATTAATCTCATTTCTCTAGAGGTGGAAATACAGAAAATGCAGTTTGGTAAGTGCATTATAATTTCTTGGTTCATGATTTTTTCAGAGTCCAGCATTAAAATTAGGCCCGGTGTAAATTATTGTTGTTTTATTAAAAAAAAAAAAAAATGAAATTAATTTGCCAAAATATAAAACATTACAGCGATTTCAGTAAAAAAATTATATTTTTAATCTTAGCGCAGAGGAAAGGAGTCTGGTCACAGCCGCATTGGCACGATTGGTGTGCAAGAGAGAATTATTTTTTTAGGCACGCGGTCACCGATAATTAAACGGGCACAGAGGGATTACAGAGGGTGTAACTGCGACTTACCCATTGGCACGTCCTCCGCTGTCACCACCGACTCCGGCACCATTCTGCAAACACATAACTCGCGTTAATCCCGCGCTGATACATTTTGGCATGCAGTTATGGTCGCAACAGAAGCAGGCTAATGCAGAGTTACATCACGGACAGTGGTAAAGGGAACGCAAGCATGGAGACCGAAATTCACACTCGGAATTCGCAATTCGTAAACCAATTTCATATAATGTGTCCGATTGCGAATTCCAAGCAGATGGACCAACATGTTGCTGAGATAACACGATATACATATACAAGTAAAAGAGGATATTATCAAACATTGAGAATCTCTGTCCATTTCGAAAATCGCTGTTGTTTTCATTAACCTATTATGATCGGCTAGGTTTCTGGTGCGGAAGCCGAACATTTTGCACGTCACGTTCGGCTAGATGTTTTTATCTATTGATAGGCGATGGGACTCGGAAATTGGGCCAAATGAAAAAGGCGTTTCTGAGATAGACGCTCGTGACTTTGGCCGTCAAAAGAAACAAAGAGAGTAACTTTTGGTGAGCGAGAGAGGCTCTGTTTGTCAAGTGCACGGCACACTAGCTAGGTCACGACGTTAGAGCGTCTTTGTGAATTGTTAAGTGCGCCTAAAGAAGACGACGGTCGTTTAAATTTTCAAAGAATGTTTTACAGGTCCGTGTGTTGTAATATATAATGTGTTGATAACATTTTGAGAGAGAAAGAGCATAATATAGGAATGAGAGAAAGGTTTTAATAGGGGAGCGAAGCGGCGGCGCTCACTTGAGTTTCATGCTGTTTGCACACTAATAATATTTAACGTGTGTATGTGAGTGTTTCGTGACAAAGGACATTATAGAAAGGAAGGGCCAGAGCGAGAGAAAGATGGAAATGTGTGATTCAAAATGTGAAAATCGTGCAATATGTGTGTTGGAAATTCCGAGACGTGAACGAAATTAGTGCTGAAAATTCCATTAATCCGATTAACACTGTCATTGAGAAAAATACACTGATATATAGATTAGCAGAAAAATTATTTTTTTTTTTTAATATAGAGAAGACTTGTGTGTTGAAAACAGTACACATTGAATCCATTTATAAGATGACTTGAAGGTGAGAACGTTGTGAGAGTTTGTGGAGAAAAAGAAGCCATGCAATAGAGCAGCATGATGTGAGAATATTCATGTTTTATGCCGAACGTTTGGACTCATGTATATATGAATGTAGCAATTCGAACAAGGTACTTTTGACAATTCAGTTGGTATAATATATAAATGGCTGAATGTGATGCAAGCCCGACCTTGATTTACTTTTACACGTGACTCACCGATTCGGTTTTTGGTGAATCAATCTGAAAGACGGAATGCTAGTTTATTTTTCTGAACCGATATTATATTAATTAAATTAAAGAATAAGTACAAATTGTTTTAATATCATTTAGTCACATTTAAATTTTAATTGTGTGTACGCTGCCATGAGCAATAAGCTTACCGTCAAACTGGCCTGTGACGCGGCTTCTTGGTTGATTTTATCCTCAGCCTTCCTTTCTTTGAGAGCCTTCAGTAATTTCCACTTGCTTCCTTCTCCTTTTCCACCTTCTTCACTAATGCTCTCCGAACGCAGGCGCGCAATCGAAGACGTAACTGTGACCGTACTGTCCGCTCTGTCTCTCTCGGTGGGCAAGGCAGATACAGATCCGAAAAGGGACCCTGTGTTTTCAGGAGGCTCACTCGGTGCCATGCTTATAGAGTCCAAAGGCCTTCGCAAGGTGCTGGCATTTGAACTGACTCTAGAGCGGCCAATGTCGTGCTGATCTGAGTATTCTTCTGAACTGTGGTGTGGGCTGTCAGGTCCGCTGGTTGATCCTGATGAAGCGTCGTCGTGCTCCTCCTCTACTTCAGGGTATGAAGTTGTGCTTGGACGACGGTCCTTCTCTGAAGTGAATGCAGATTCTGAACTGAACTCGCTGCCTGTCTCGGAGTGCTGATTTTGAGGTTTCAAGGCGTGAACAGGCGTTGCTTGCTGAACGGGTGCCTGTCCGGCTAAGCTATCGCTGCCTCCCGAAAAGAAGGCAGACTCAATTGACCTTACAGAGGAAGAGTTGTCGTCCTCAAATGAGTTGGCATCTCGAATTTTAAGCTTTGGATCTGAGCCGGTTACAGCCTTTTGTTTCAGTTCTTCAAGCACATTTGACATTTTTTCTTTTACTTTTTCTTCCGGCTCAAGGGCCATTTGTTCCCTCACCAGATCTTCGTCGTTTAGGCGCTCCATTTCCTCCAGTTTTCTCAACTCGTAGCAGTACCACTCATCCTCACTGTCAATACTTTCTTCGGTGCTTTGGCGCCTGGAAGACACTCGTGATGTGCTTCTGTAGGAGTGCGTGCTGCGATTGTCATCATCGTCAAGTGACCCTCGCAAGTTTGGAATTTCCAGACTTGCCTGCTGCCTCATAGCCATCCTCATGCTTGGAGCACGCATTGTTTGGAACTGGTTTGTATTTTGCAAATGCTCCATAGTTTGGAACACTGAATTGAAGTTATTTTCAACGTCCTGAAAGGTATTTTGATTGAAAATTTGATTATCTTCTTGATTGATCGATAAGATAGGTGCCGGTTTTATAGGTGGCTCTGGTATTTTCGATTCAACTGGTGCTGGCTGTGGCTGCACTTCTTCTGGTTTTTCTTCTTTTCCTGAATGCCCACCGGATGAAACTTCATCACCAGACCCACCAGAGGGAGCAGCTGTTGAAAGAGCCCAATTTGAGTCTTCTCCGGAACCAGTCTGCTCTTCCGATGCTGACGCCGAGGAATGACGCTGCCTATATTTCCCTAGAGCACGTGACACGGCGAATTCTCTGGACACAACGCCGATCGGCACAGGTGGCAACTGCACAGATTCTTCAGCCTTATCTTCTATCGAGTTTCTTTTGATATCGCCCACAGTGGCAAACATTTCTTTTGCAGTATCTTCATCAGGAATGTCTGCAAACGGATCAGAGTCTGCTTTTTCGCTCATGTTTGTTTCAGACTCATTTCTCGGCATTGAACTTTGATTTTGTGCTGGTGGTTGAACGTTTTTCTTGACTGACACACGCGCAAAGTGGACTTCTGCATCTAAAAAAATCACACAAAATCCAAGAATAAATTTTTTTAATAAAAGAATAATAAAATTAATCGAAATGACGTGTGAGTATGTGTTGAAAACTTTAAGTTTTTAAGTAATTAGGAAATTTTTTCCGGGAAATCAAGATATCTTTAGGCCCCGTTCATCGAGTTCTTTCACTCTAAGTCACTTCATTTCGTTTGGCATCATATCAACTTTAATCTTTATTCTCTTCCATTCTCTTAATACCTGACAGTGACATTTCAAAACAATATTAAAAAAATATTGAAATTTTATAATAAAAAATTTGAGAATATTATTGATTATTATTTCGTCATAATTTAACTCAAAAGACAAAACCTTTTTTCAACAATCTATTTTTAGCAATGTGAAAATATAAATAACAATAATCAAAAAGATAAACTAGATATGTAATATCTTTAAAATTTATCTATAATAAATTAATACCTTCTTCACTTTCTTGATCAGAGGCTGCACTGCTGTACTTCGTAGACCACTCTGACTCAGATTGTTCTCCGTCTGAATAAGAAAAAGATCTGCGCCCCTTTCTCTTAGCTTTTTGCAATATTCCAGAAACAGTGGACACTATCATGTTTTTTCTTCGCTTTTTCGGCAAGCTAAATATTGTTGATGATGATGTTGATGGCTGCTGCTGTTGCTGCTGCTGAGGTTTATGACTAACACCTTCTTCATCTTGCTCCACTCCACTCGGCAATGAGTTTGATCTACTTCGCTTCATTGACAAATGTAAATCTGGAATCCAGCTGCTGACGGTGCTCATGGCGGTTTTCAACGTGGCTCGTCTGTTTGATTTCTTTTGAGGCTTTCTCTCCGATGAACTGCTGGAGCTTTTAATGTCCGAGGAGATTGATATGTATCCTGACTGAGAAACTATCACACCTGTTGAGTCCACAAACTGTTGTGGCATCGGACCCTGATCCATCGACTGCTGCGCCTTCAACTGCCTTTGGCCTGTATGTCTCCAACTTGCCTCTGACTCATGAAGTGACCTGTCAGTTCTCTGGGGCCAATTCTGATCATGATATCGGTCATCTTCTGGCAATCTAGAAGGAGCAGGAGGTGGTGGTGGTTGTGACTGATATCTCTTTGATTCGATAGGGTACGAAGGTGGCATGTAATGAGCGTCTGTATACCTGCCTGACTCAACAGACTTAATTGAGCTTGAGGTATCACCAGGACTAGGCGTTAGATTAATTCTTCCTGATCGCTGTGCAGTTGGCAAAACACTGGTTGACACGTAATCGTACCTTGGCGAGGTACTTTGAGTAGGGTAGTACGATAGTGCGTCTGTAATATTTCCAGTCGGGAACATTGTGCGGTACATAGCATTTCTGTATTCCTCCATGTCCGCCATGGAACTTCCTACTCGGTGACTAGACGCAGGACTAGGAGGTGTTTGAACAGGCAGGGCATGTGAAGTGTGGGCTGTAATGTCAGGTTTTGGCAGCTTTGATGCTGAGTACGTTGAGTAGGTTGTTGAAGCGCTGGAACCTCTAGTGTATAGCGTGGAATAGGTCAAGGTTGTGTTGCTGCCTGCTACGGAATAAAGTGAGCTTTCATTTGCGTCAGCCCTTATTAAGTATTCGCTGAACGGAGAGGCCGTTCGGAACCTATGTTTCGGACTCGCACCAATATTGTCTGTTGCGGGCAAATACTGATTTCCTATCAATGATGAACCACTTAGTTTTTGATGAGACAAGCTTTTATTTTGCAATTGAGTCATTAGTGAAGAACTAGTAAGATAATTGGCGACATCAGAGTGGTGGTTATGTTGATGAAGATGACTCTGATGGCGTGGTGAAATTCTGCCAATCATGAGATCACTTCTACTTCTAGGCGAAGGAGGCGATTTTTCTAAAGCTGACCAGCTACTAAGAGATGAAAGACCTGAATCAGATTTAGCAGT